CCCAAGACCTTGGGATCATGACCTGAGCTGACCTGAGACGCTTAACGACTGAGCCACCCAGGCGCCCCCTAAGTTATGTTGTTTTGAATTAATTAAAATTAAAGTCCTGAGGGAAAAAACCAAATAATAAAATGTCAGTATAAGCCTTAGCTTATCAGTAATTACTTTAAATGCAAAAGGTCTAAATATTACAATTAAAAGACAGAGATCGGAAGGATAGATTATTTAAAAATGGCCCAAGTACATGCTGTCTACGAGAAATGCATGTTAATCATAAGGACCATAGGTAGGTTGAAAGTAAAAGGTGTAAAAAGATATATCATGTTAACATTAATTTTTGGGGGGGTGCCTGGGTGGCTCAGTCGGTTAAGTATCTGCCTTCAGCCCAGGTCATGATCCCAGGGTCCTGGGATGGAGCATGACATCAGGCTCCCTGCTCAGTGGGGAGCCTGCTTCTCCCTCTCCCTCTGCCTGCCACTCCCCCAACTTGTGCTCTCTCTTTCTGTCTCTCAAATGAATAAAATATTTTTTAAAAAATCTTAATTTTTAAGTGGCTATATTAATATCAGACAAACTGGACTTCAGAGCAAAGAATAAAGAATCAGCCCATCAAGAAGACAGAGCAATTCTAAATGTATACGCACCAAAAGGCAGAGCTGCAAAATACATGAAACAAAAAATGATGGGGCTGAAAGGAGAAATAGATCCACAATTATGGTTCAGGACTTCTACATACCACTCTAAGCAATCGATAGAACTATTGGACAGAGTATTGGTAAAGGTAAAGAATACCTTAACAATACCATCACACAACAGAATCCAGTTGACGTTTACAGAAATTCCACCCAACAACAGCAGAATGAATATATATTCAAGATCCCATGGAACAGGGTGCCTGGGTGGCTCAGTTGGTTAAGCGACTGCCTTCGGCTCAGGTCATGATCCAGGAGTCCCTGGATCAAGTCCCGCATTAGGCTCCCTGCTTGGCAGAGGGTCTGCTTCTCCCTCTGACCCTCCCCCCACTCATGCTCTCTCTCTCATTCTGTCTCTCAAATAAATAAATCTTAAAAAAAAAAAAATAGACCACAGGAAATTCTTTCATCATTTGGAAATTAAGAGTACACTTCTTAATAATCCATGGGTCAAAGAGGAAGTTAACACAGGAAATTTTAAAAATGAGAGGGTCTGGCTGGCTCAGTCGGTGGAGTGTGCAACTCTTGATCTCAGGGTTGTAAGTTCGAGCCTCAAATTAGGTGTGGAGATTACTTCAAAAATTTTTTTAAATCTTTTAAAAAATTTGAAATGAACTTCATGATCCCAGGGTGCTGTATGGAAGTGTCGAATCACTGTATTGTACACCTGCAACTAATATTACACTGTATGTTAACTAACGAATTAAAATTTAAAACAAAGTAAATTAAAAATAAAAATAAAATGAACTGAATAAAAACGAAAATACAACATACCAAAATGTGTAGAATGCAGCCATAGCAGTCCTGGGCCGGAACTTGCGGCCCCCATGTGCTTACGTTAGAAAAGAGAAAAGATCTCAAAAAAGTAGTCTAAGTTGCTATGTCAAGAAACTAGAAAAAGAACAAAATAAATCCGAAGCAAGCAGAAATCAGTGAGATTGTAAACAAGAAAACAACAAAGGAAATTTATTAAACCAAAAGCCGGTTCTTAAAAAAATACCAATACAGCTGGTAAACCTTGAACAAAATTGACAGATAAAAAGACGCAAACCACTAACAACAGGATAGGGGATGTCACTACAGCCATTAAGAGGATAGAAGTGAACACTAGGAGCACCTTTACACCCCCAGATTCAATAACTTAGAATAAATTCCTTGAAAAGCACAAATTACCAAAACTCAACCAAGATGAAATAGATAACCTGAATAACCATTAATAAAATTAGATTTTTAAATTAAAAAGTTCCTAAGGGATTCACTCTAGGGGTTTACCTTATATTTAAAGAATAATTAACACCAATTTTACACATTCTCTTCCAGAAAATATAAGAGGAGGAAATACTTCTGATTCATTTTATGAGGTCTGAATTTGTCTGATAGCAGAACCAGACAAAGACCGTACAAAACAAACTACAGACTAGTATCTCTCATGAACTTAGATAGAAAATGTTAACATCATATCCAGGAATATATAAAAACTGTACACAACAGCCAAATGGAGTTTATTCCAGATACACATGGCTGGTCCAGTAATCAAAAACCAAATCAACATAATCCATATCAACAGTCTAAAAATTCATAAGTACAGAAATGCATTCAACAAACCCCCAACACCCATTTGTGGTGAAACACTCATCCAAGATTAGAGGGAGAACTTTCTCAGCTTGATCAACTTCCTCATCTACAAAAAACCTACTGTACCATCACACTTAACAGGGAAAATACTGAGTGCTTTCCCCCTGACTGGGAACGCGGCAAGGATGCCTGCTCTCACCACTCCTACTTAATGTGGTTCTGGAAGTTCTGATCAGCACAACAAAGTAAAAGGAAATAAAAGAGCATTTAGATTAGAAAGGAAGAAGTAAATCTGGCTCTCTTTGCAAATGACATGATTGTCTATATAGAAAACTCCAGGGGCGCCTGGGTGGCTCAGTTGTTAAGCGTCTGCCTTCGGCTCAGGCCATGGTCCCAGGGTCCTGGGATCGAGCCCTGCATCGGGCTCCCTGCTTGGCGGGAAGCCTGCTTTTCCCTCTCCCCCTGCTTGTGCTCCCTTTCACTGTGTCTCTCTCTGTCAAATAAATAAATAAAATCTTAAAAAAAAAAAAAAGAAAATTCCAAGGAATCTACCAAAAAACCTCCTAGAACTAAAAGGTGTTTCAGCAAGGTCACAGGATGGAATTAATTGCATTTCCATATACTAACAGTGACACCATTTTAATAAAAATCCTGTGCATCAATATTTGTAGCCACAGTAGGTGGATAGCGAAACTGTGGTAGAGCCGTACCACGAGCAGTAACCACTGATACATGCAACAACACCAATGCATCTCGGAAGCATTGTGCTGGGTGAAAGAAGCCAGACACAAAAGGGAACATACTGTATGATTCCATTTATGTAATATGCTTGAGATAATGTTCTAGAGATGGAGAGCAGATTAGTGGCTGCCAGAGATTTAAGGATTAGAAAAGGAGGGGAGGGGGGTGGCTCTAAAAGGGTGACATGAGGGAGCCCTGTGGTAATGGCACACTTATCTGTCCTGATTATTAGGAGTGGTTATGTAAAGCTACACATGCTAAAATTGCACGCATGCGCATGCACATTCTCACAAATGAGTGCACGTGGAACTGGACACATCCGAGTAAGCTCCATGGATTGTACTGATATCAGCGTCCTGGTTTTGATAGTGTGCTGTACTTCTGCAGGAGGTAGTGTTGGGGGAGGCAAGGTCAAGTGTATACACTTGACCTTGGAAGTTCCTTCAAAGGCCTTTTTAAAATGCATGCACAAAATGTATTTGCATTAGAAATGTATTTTGCCCCCATCCCTTCTCTAGACAAACGGGTTTCCTATTATCTTACTATTCTGCACCTTACTTTTTTTTTTCACTTAATAGAGATGGTTCCATATTGGTTGTGCTTTATTTTTTCAGGTGTGGAGATTACACTGATGTTTCTGCCATGGTGCTTTTAATCACATTTTTATGAACAGACTTCTGGGGTGTTTCTGTTCTGTGCTGTTAGGAACAATGCTCTGATGAAGACCTTGTACATTTGCTATTTTGCTGGTGTGTGAATATGCCTCTAAAATAAGTTTCTGGAAATTGGATATCTGGATTAGAATCTATCTACACGAGTCTTCAGAGACACCGCTAGATTGCCCTGCATAGGAGTTGTACCATTCCATACACTTTGCAGCAGCGAGTATCTTCATTTATCCCCACAGGCTGTTTTCACATTGTAGCACTTCCAACAATATGTTAGGTTAAAAATGGCATCTCAGTGTGGTTTTAGTTTTCATTTCTATGAAAAATTGGACATCCTTTCTTATTTTCAATTTGTATTTTGATTTATATTTCTTTTTCTGTAAACTGTGTTCATAATCTTTGGGCCGTTATTCCAGTGGGTTGTTGGCTTTTATAGGAGTTAGTGATTTGTAGGAGTAATTTATATAATAAGCTCTTTGTCTTTGATGTGATGTTAATGATATTTTTCCTGTTAATTGTCTGCCTTCTGACTTTTCTTACATTTTTTCTTTTTTGGGAGGGGCCACACTGAAGTTTGTTGTTTTGTTTTTAATTTTTCCTTAGACTGATCTTCTGTGGCTTCTGGATTTTGTGCCACTCAGAAAGGTCTTTCCCACACCCAGGTTATAAGTTTCATGGTATTTATTGCATTTAGGTGTAGCCCTATTGAAATCTGGAGTTAAGTCCCCACAGTGGTGCTGCTGGGCCAAGCCTTAGGCGTAGACTTTATTTCTGGCCTTGGGTCTGATTTCATGGGTCTCCTCAGGCTTGTTGGAAATCTGGGTCACTGCTAGAACCAGATCAAGTTAATCTCACATCCTCCATAAAGTGGTGCTTTACAGAGAAAGGAAGTAAGGGGAGGACATTGGATGATCTTCTGGCTCTTATCCCATCTTCAGCAACCTTTATTCTAAGAGATAAACTCTAGTAGAAGAGGTTTTTGTCCGTCCCCTGTGTGCTCCAGGAGTTAGTGGTTGGGTGACAGAACCCCTTTGCTGGTCTCCAGGGAAGGGAAACCAAACTTCAGGGCTGTTTCCTTCCATTGGTCATTTGTGCAAATCCCACTTAGGTTGCTTTTCCACAGGGACCAGCTGCCTGAATCTCTGGAATCTAAAACGGTCCTGTCACAGTGAGAGGAACTTGGGAGTCTTGTCCACATTTCAGAGCACAGCACTGTGGATTTTCTTCAGAATGGAGTGCTAGTCAGTGGTCTGTCTTCCTAATACTTGCTTTTTCAAAATGGGTATGAAAAACATCTGCTTAGCATGACTTTACCCCCACTTAGGAATAAGTAAGCCAGAAGAAGGACGGCCTGCTGGGAGTGTGACCGGAAATGACATCACCGCCCCTCCAAACAAGGAGCTCCCACCCAGCCCAGAGAAGAAAACAAAGGTAGGCACCAGAGTGGTGGGTTATCTTCTCCTGCTACCATTTTTAAAAACTCTTATCTTCTGCTGTTACTGCTTGAATCAATGAATGAAATTTCTTTTTTCTGAGCTATCAGTAGTCCTTTTTTGGACATTCTTAGAAAATATTTTATATTCCTATTTTATCATAGTAACCTAACTCAACCCTTAAAATCTCTGCCTTTGACCCCATTATCTTGAATACATGTAGAAATGTTCTGTAGAGGTTGTTTCTGCTTCCCTTAACAACAACAACAACGGGATTTGCAGAACTATTCAGAAATAGATTCTGAAATCTTCATTTGTAAAAAGGGAACTCAGATTTTTAAGGTGGAGCAAAGCTTCAGGAATTACTGTTGCTCGTTGCAGAACACAAATGCTGTACCTCGGTGTGGTCCTAAAACCCTGCCGATGTTGCCTCATCAAGGCACAAATAATGACCGTTTAATTACCTGCTGGTGACTTCTTCGTAGAATTATTGCAGCCACCAAAAATTAGTTAATTGTTTAAAGCCGTCACTGAATTTAAGTCTTCAGGTACCGAACTGCTGGAATTTGTGACACTGTCATTAAGAATGAAGTCCCAGTTTTCTTTTTCTCATGATTTCTTTCCACTCCTTACCGAGCTCAGAAGAACGGAATGCTGCTTTTCAGTTGCATATATCCTCATTGCTTATAATTTTACTTTGAATTGTGCAATTTATACTTTTCTTCATTTTTTATTTTTGTCTGTGTGTTTGATGTTGGCTTTAAAAACAAAACAAAACAAAACAACACATCAACTTAAAGCCTTTGGCCACCACTCAGCCTGCAAAGACTTCAACATCGAAAGCCAAAACTCAGCCCACTCCTCTCCCTAAGCAGCCGGCTCCCGCCACCTTTGGTGGGGCGAATAAAAAACCCATGAGCCTCGCTGCAGGCTTAGTGCCGGCTGCCCCACCCAAACGCCCTGCCACCGCCACTGCCAGGCCATCCACCTTACCTTCAAAAGACTCAAAACCCAAGGTAAGTAGCCACCCAGGCCCTGTGCCTGGGAGACGTTCTCCCCTCCAAGGGTCGATTGCTCTCGTTGCTGCCAAGCAGTGCAGTTAAGCTGGTGGAATTGGGGGAAGGGGAGAGAGGCGACTTGCAAATCTTGGGGGTGCATAGTGCAGCCATAACACCTGAAGGCCTTTCAAGACTTTGTACTTTGTCCTGCCCTGCTGGGAGGCAGTACTGAGTCTGCTTAGGTTTCTTTTCCTTTCTCCCAGCTCCCCCTTACTCTTCCCTTGTTTGAACACTTGTTAGCGAGTTTGCCCTCCTCCACATACTATGTCACCCACTTCTTTTTGGTACAGTTCCCACATCAGATTCCCCAAATTCACTTCCTTATCTTTCTCTTTAATCCTCTGGCAGAAGTGAGTTTCGCCTGTGACTTTTTTGGATAAGGTCTTCTAGCTGATCTCTGTAGGTTCCAACAATGTGTGACAACTTCCTTTGCTTTTGACATTGGGCCTCTCTCACTGGGCACCCCCCTGCAGGTTTTCAGTTTTCCAGGTCAGCCACACATAACTGCCTAGAAACCGGTCCATTTGGAGCAGGAGTGGCTTCAGCAGGATCATTCTAGAAGACCAGCTGGGCTCTGTGGCTGCCTTCCTTAACATCTTTTTGCTTGAGTAGGGCCTTTCGGTCAGCTCAGTGTTATTCTTTAAATTCACGGTGGGCAATGTTAGTGTATCATCTAATCTTGTAAAGAAAATTGATGGAACCTAGGAATTGTAGTCTAGGTTGGAACCTGGCCAAGAAACTGAGAAATCCTGTCATAGACTAAGAATGATAAAATACATAGTTTTCTGGCGCTCCTCATTTACCCAGTTGACTGCTTTTCTTGATCGTGAGAAGATGATTTAGTTGCATCAGAGGGCAGAGGGAGGGTGACTGGAGCCCTGGCACGGCAAATCCTGGGGCAGACAGAAGACAGCAGGGGGAGGTGGTCTAGTGAAATTTCACTTGGCAATAATAACAACCATGAAGTGTCCTCTGCTGGTTCCTTTATATAAGTTAATGCCTTTGATTCTCTCTGTCAGCAACCCATGATGTGGGTATTAGTATTCTCATTTCATAGCTCAGTGAGATAACCTTCCTAAGGTCCAGTGCTAGTAAGTAGCAGAGCCAGTGTGTGAGCTTGGGGCTGACTCCACCCCTGATGCTCAGGGCCTCTGTCAGCACTGCTCTTTCATGGCTTTTGCCACGCAGATTTTAGACAGCATTCTGAGGTACAGCTCACCTGAAAATGTGATCTGCATTCCAGTTACTACTGCTGTTCTTTTTTTAGATAAGAAACAGATGAAAATATTTTGAGAGATTGATTAAAAACTGGTCTAATGAAATTTATTTTCACCCTTATTTGGTAGAAAAGTTGAAGAAGCAAAAAAAGGGGGAAAAAAACCTACTTAGAAAAAGTAGATCCAGGATCCTGGTAGAGAAGAAACTGTAAAATGAGAAACAGCAGAGTAACTGCAGTTATGAAAGCAGGCTGGTTCTGTCGCTTGCTGAAGCCAAGAGCCTGACCTCTAAATCAAGGATGTCACGTTTTTTAGAGCCTTCTATCCTTAATACCTTTTTTCCAACTTATTTTATCACTATTATTAGCAAAATAAGACCCTGGGAGATTATTCTGAATCATAGTCCTAATATTGAGAATTTGAAGGAGGCCTCAGAGAGTATGTTTTATACCCAGATCTTAGAGCTGACTGGAGGGATCCCTCTGCACAAAATCCTACGATCTATTCCAAACAGAGCTGGTGGCTGAACTAGTTCCACCAATTCCAGCCATACTTAGGGACTTCATTTATAGAAACGGCCATTACCCTGCGCTTTCAGGGTTAGACTTTAATTGGATGCCAGCCCTTAATTTCTGAGCACCTCCTTAGCTGATTTCCCATCTGAGCTGTATCCTGCTCGTCTCCACCAACATACAACGCTGTGTGGCCATTTGTTGTTGAGTAAAAGGGCTGGATACACTGTGTCTGTGATTTGGCTCATTGTCTAGAGTAACTTGGTACTTATGTTCCCGTAGAAGCCAGGCTACATGATTCCTTCCCTTCCTTACAAGTGACGCCATGCCCAGCCTCCCTGGAAGAGGAGCTAGAGTGGCCCCGATGCCAAGACTTTTCCCTTTGGCCCTCAGTCACAGCTGTGACATCGGTGCTCCTCCCCTGTGGTGGTCAGCCCTGCCCCCTCCGCCCACCCGCTCTCCACAAGCCTGTGCTCTCAGAGACTTCTCCTCTAGTCCCAAACACCGCACGGCATCGCAGCTGGTCCCCAGGGGTCCTCTGTGCCAACCTCCCTTATCCGACTGAGGAAGTAAAGCCCAGAGAGACTCTGTGATTTACCAGGAACACACTGTGAGTTGGGGGCCTGACTGGGGTTAGAGCTCGGCATTCTGATCTGACTGGCGAGGCCGGTGTTCTCACTGTTGGCAGCCCTAACCAGCGTTCGCCGTGTGCATCTTCACCAAAAGAGTGACTGAATTTGATTGAACATAATTTTTATATTTTTTGTGTTGTTTATATATTTATTTATCTTTGGTCAGGTAATTAAATACTGATGTATTTAATGTATTTAAATACATTAGATCCTGAGGCAAACTGCGTTTGTGATGTGGTATACTTTTCTGGTTTGTTCATTCTCACTGGTTCAGGCTGGATTGAGCTCCGTTAGGCTCCGTTTCCCGAGTCCAGCTGACACAGCGCCCTGCATGGCCCATTTCTCACTCTGTCTGAAGGACTTAGATCTTAGAACAGCATAAACTGTCCTGTCAGTGAGTGCCAAATCCACAGTTTTTCTGGTGTCCGCTGACTTCCCGGGGCGCCCGCTGACCTGCAGCTCTTATTCCCATTTCCCTGTCACCAGCCTGTTGCAGAGGCAAAGATTCTGGAGAAGCGGGCCTCGCCATCCAAGCCAGCCTCTGCTCCAGGCCCCCGGCCTGGCTCCAAGAGCTCCCAGACTGTTCCAAAAGCCCCGGCCGCTGCCAGTCCTGCCTCAGCTGGGCCAGGCAGTCGGAGCCCCCCCACGCCTGTGCCCAAGAGGCCCACCGGTGAGTACTGTTACCCTCCACTCCCGTGGAAACCGGTGGGGAGAAGGGTGGGGCCTTGGCTTTGCCCCAGCCGTAGCTCCAGCCAGCGTCACAGAAAGCCATGCACCCCTTTTTGTGCCCTCGTCCTTAATGGGGTGCAGTGAAAAGTGGATCCTTGATCTCCATATGAGGTTAACAAGTACATATATTCAGAAAATTCTTGAGTGAAAGGGATTCTTAATGGATTCCCAGGTAGTATTTACTGTTCTTTCTTAGTAACTTCGCCGCACTCAGCACATCGTGGTCATGGGCGTACATGACAGGAGATAGATGGTTCAGTTCCACTGGTGCATGTACTGATAACCCACTTCCGAGGCCATGTGGAAGGCACTGGCAGGGCTGTAGAAGAGAATGAGACAGAGTGGGTGGCCATGTATGCTCCAGAAGGGCGCAGTCTTTCCCTGGCTGGCTAATTTACCCCTCACTTATTCCCAGCGACTAGCACAGCCCATGGCCCAAAAGGGACATTCAGTAATTGTTGAATGAATGAATGAATCTCAGGATTGGATGAGCCGTTCACTAGGTTAGTTTGTAAACACTACATGTTAAACCGTGTATGTTTGTGCAGCCGTTAGGACGGAGGGGAAGCCTGCGGACATGAAGAAGACGGCTACAAAGTCTGCACCAGGTAACACCCGGTCCCCTGCTTCGTGGGAGCCTAAAATAAACCCCTGCCTCTCTGTGGCTCTAAGGCTCCCCTTTGCTCTCTCCCCCTGACCCCTTGTCCTCTCTCACTCCTACGTTTGCAGCTGACCTGAGTCGCTCCAAGAGCACATCCACCAGCTCGGTGAAGAAAAGCACCACTGTCCCTGGGACCGCCCCTGTGGCAGGGGTGGCTCCCAGCCGAGCCAAGCCCACACCCACCCCTCCCCGGCCCTCTGGGACCCCTTCCTCAGACAAGAAGCCCGCCTCAGCCAAGCCCAGCTCCTCTGCCCCGAGGCTGAGCCGCCTGTCCACCAACGCTTCTGCCCCTGATCTGAAGAACGTCCGCTCCAAGGTTGGCTCCACGGAAAACATCAAGCATCAGCCCGGAGGAGGGCGGGTGAGTCCAGGGAGCTAGGGGTCCTCGGCATGCCGGCCCTTGCTTCTTCTGCTGCCACACCCACCCACCCGCTGTCCCCCAGGCGTGTCCTCACATCAGCCCCAGGCGCCCACCAAAGAAGAAGGGCGGTCAGGACATTGGATTCAGTGCCAGGGACTTTCAGCCTGGGCTCCAGGTCCCAGCAGCAGGCTCTCTCTTCCCGTCCCCATGAGAGGGGCTCTTGTTCTGTATTTTGGGGTTTAGGCTTACATTTTTGTTTGGAGGCAACAGGGTTCTTCTCCTTAACAAGACGAACAGAGGTGGATTGTGAGACCTTGTGAAGGTGAGAGACTGGACGTGCTCCCTACCCTTGCGCTGTCTGAGCTGCAGGACGTGTAGGAGGTGGAAGCTTTGACATGGGGTGGGGGGGTGCCTTCAGCGTGAAAGAGGTAGGGCGTCCTCTGGTGGCCGGGAGGACTCGCTCCTGCTTTCCTTATCTGGAGTCCTGCTTTCCTAATCCGAAGGGCTGCCCCAGGGAGTCGTGATGGAGGGGGAGTTGCGATGGAGGGTGGCAGGGCAGGCCCCGGCGCTTTACTCTTAAGGCTTTTCTGGTTGCATCCGCCCCAGAATTATTTGTCAGCTGTTAGCAGCAGTGGGACTTTGGTGTATGAAAAGATGGTGCCGAAAGTCCCAGTCAAAGTCCTTGGAGCAGGAACCTTCTCATTTCCTATGTGATTCTCCAGCATTAAACCACCACCCATCCCTCCCACTCAGGGTAGGATAGCTTAATTTGCTTCAACCCAGAGCCCTTAAAAAATTGACCAGGGCCCAAAATGAGGCCGAATCCTGGTATTTTTGGAAGACATTGATGGCAAACTGAGATTAGTCTGGAAAAAGGGCCTGAGAGTTGCTTTTGCTAAGAGGCTGTGGCTCTGGTGTACCCAATGCATGACCCATCTCCCCCTTCCTGGGCTCTTCTTATGCTTTCCTTGGGCAAAAGTTGCAGGTGGTCCTGGGGGGGACGTTGAGTGACTTGGCCTCGTAATCAAATTATTTTCTGTTCCAACATACCTGACTGATACGAGACTTCACATCATCAGTAGTGGCTCCCTGTTGACTATGGCAGCTTGCTTGGGGTGAGGACATTTGAATGGGAGGGCATCATGATTGGCAAACACACACTCCAAAGAGAATCACTAACTTAGCCCTCCTTCCCGCCTTTCTCTGTGAGTGCTATCTTGATCTCTTCCTAGGGTCTCAGGACCTTGTTCTGCAGCTCCTCCCCCTGGCTGGTCTACCCTGGAAAATGGTGGTTTTTTTTTTCCTAGGAGCGCGGGTGACCTGCTTCTGCCGGTGGTCTGGCCTGGATTTGAGTCCCCTACAGCTTTCTTCCCTTCTTGGCATTTGGGCTCTTACCTTCTTGGTTTGAAATGTGCCCTCCCTTTATCTCCATCCAGGCCAAAGTAGAGAAAAAAACAGAGGCATCTGCTCCGGCTCGAAAGCCTGAACCTAACGCAGTCACTAAAACAGCCGGTCCCATTGCGAGTGCGCAGAAACCACCTGCTGGGAAAGTGAGTTTTATTTAGACTTTTACCTCTTGAAGGTGAAAGATGATAAACTGTTTCTTCCAGCCTGAGTCACTTTCCCTTCTATTGCACTTTTTTCCTGTCCTTAACTAGTTTCTACTTTGCCCCCCCCCCCGCGTTCCCTCCTCTTTGTTTGATGACTCGGCCATCAGAAAAATTTTTGTATTAACCCTGACAGTTAACAGAGTTGGGAGCCTTTGGGAAATATTTATTCAACCGGATAACACGGATCCAAAAACCTTCAGCCACTTCCTTCACACTGACCTTGATGTGAAACCCTACCCATTTTGCACGCAGAACACACACACTGAGCACCCAGGTCCTGCCTCAGTGAGACACATGGCATTGGTTACTTGTCAGCACCTGGAACCCTGGAACCCTGGTGCTTTAAACTGACCTTTCAGTTTAAGAAGGCCCCTTTCACAACATGCTGGCTACAGAGGTAGCTTTGTTTGCCCTGGTTCCCCATGTCCCCTTCTCACTGAAAGTTCACATGCTCATTCCCTCTGGAAACCCACTCAGCGTAGGGATCGCATAGGTAAGAGGAAACTAGGTTCTTTCCTCTTGCCTCCACACCCTGGAACCAGGCCCCCCTCCCGCTTGCTGTGGGAACCTCCTTCCCTTAGCTGTGGCAGGTAGGTGGTCTCTCCAGCCAGGGGCTGCCAGAGGAGCCTAACTCCAGCTCTCAGGGACCAGGATGGGGAGTCTCAGCCCAAGGAATTTGTGCATTCGGTGAGGCTTCCAGGTGACTCCTAGAGGTCCTGTGGGTCTTCGGTTCAGAGCAGGGTTTCATTAGGAAACAGTTTGCTAACCAGTTATTCATCACTGACATTGTAAAGAAGGCACAAAACCGTGAGGTATTTGGGTTGGAATTTCTCGGGGTGGATTTCTCTGCTCTGTGGAAAACTCTTCAGCTTGGGGCCTGTTTCATTTGTGAAGGGCTCTGAAGCCAAGGGAGGAAGGAAGCTGGCAACTGTTTCTTTTTCAGAAGACTCAAAGAGAATTCTTTGTTCCAGCCCTTAGAGCCTGGGCCTTTGTGTGGCTGCATTCCAGGGGGAACCATTCATAAGCACTCAGTGTGCTGTGTCCTGTCGTGGTCCCCCCCAACCCCCCCCCCCCCCCCCCCCCGCCACCCCATTACGCATCACTGCAGCCTTGCCTGGAGCCGCTTCTCTTTGCACACGAAACTCACAGGGCACAGGATTAGGCATCTGGAGGATTGAGGGAAGTGTTTTACCCTCGAGTTGAAGAAAAGTCTAGACCAGAAGCTCACTGTACTTTCTTGAGCCCCGAGACTACCGGGCTGCTTGTAGAGTGTGGAGTTATCGAGGATGTGGCTTGCGCTCCCCCTGGCGTCCAGATTCTGCATGGCAGGCCCAACGGCCTCTGGTCCATTTGCATTGATGACTGAGCTGTGATGTCCCTTCCTTCCTGTATCAGATCTTTGCCCTATGAGCCAGCTGCCCAGTGTGCTTCTCGGAGCTGCCTTTGCTTCCCAGATATAAGGGAAGGGCCAAGGTTCGGTGAGGACCAGTCCAGATGAGCAGGACCCTCGCAGAGAGGCTTCCCCAGACACTCCTCAGCTCTCGGGGAAGAGCAGGCAGGAGCAGGAGTGGGGCTGTGCCTGGGTGGGCATCCAGGGCCTGCTGCTGGCTGGGCCTCGTGAACCATAGCCCAGCCCCAAGGAGCAGTGAGGAGGACCATTAGCCCTTCTGCAGCCTCTGCTTCTGTCCTCGTGTTGTTTGTCTTTGTCCTTCACTCATTTTCCTGCTTCTCTCAGATTCCTTCCCCTGTGCTTCTCCACAGCTGTTCGGCTGCAGGTGGGGGCGGAGTTGGAACAAAACTCTGTTGTCACTGTGGTCACGTGTGGACGCACTGCCTGCCCTGTGTCAGTTCTAACCAGCCCTCTCCCTTTGTGTTGTTTTTTTTCTGTTCTCTAACACTCCAGGTCCAGATAGTCTCCAAAAAAGTGAGCTACAGCCATATTCAGTCCAAGTGTGGTTCCAAGGACAATATTAAGCATGTCCCTGGAGGTGGTAATGTAAGTATGGGCTCCGGACAGCTAGCGTCTGTGGCATAGCCCCCCGTGGGGCGCACTGGGGAGAGGGCCACGGCAGCCTGGCCTGGGGCTTCCTCCCAGACGCAGGCTAGCGAAGTGAGGGGAGGCCTCAGTGCCCCGGTGTGTTTAGGCTGGCTGTTTCTGGGGAACCCCTAAATACTACAACCCGGTGGCGCTCACCCGGCGTCTCCCCCCTCTCTCCCTGGCTTTCACCCTGCTGAGTCCTTCCTCCTCTTACTGCCTCAGCCGCTCCTTTTCTCTTTCTCTTCCTCCTTCTTCCGTCCAGACATCCCTTTATCATGCTGCCCTTCTGTGCCAGCCCTAAGCTCTGTGCTGGGGACACAGGTGACTCTGGCCAACAGGGGGGCCGTGGTCTAGAGGTAAGAACACTCTGTTCGCCCGCCACCTGTCCCTGTGACCTTGCAGAGGCAGGAGAGGCTCCAGCACGTGCCGGAGGGAAGGGTGTTACGGAGCCACCACGTGCGGCCTCCACCTTCACTGCTCCGCACCCGCTGCCCCCCCCCCCAGCAGAGCGAGGGAGCCCGTCCTGCTCCAGCAGCCTGCTCACTCCGTTCCTTCTCCTCACTGTCTGGACTGGGCTGTGTCGTGCTCTGCTCACCCTGTTCATTTTCAGGCTCTGTCCCTCCTGCCCCTTCGGTGGCCATGCCATCCTGCCTGTGGCTGCCCAGCATTTCTCTTGTGAGGAATCCGCCTCAGGGCATCCCTTTCTTGCCCCCCCCCCCCCCACCCCCCCTACTGAAGCTCCTTCCAGTCACTTACCACCAGTGGCTCTCCTGGCCCGGGCAGGAACTGCATCCTTGACACGCGGGTGGAATGCACCTGGCTGGCTTCGTTGCTGGCCTGACGGGAGCCAGCCTGGTGTGGGATCCGCTGAAGTGGGTGAAGCATGTAAAGACAGTGTCTGGTTAAGGTGATGAAGATCCAGCTTGAGGGCCCCAGGGAGGCACTGGCTTTAGCTTTTCCTTTCAGGTTTTTGGGCTAGCTGAAAACAGGAGGTGAGCAGGAGATTCTGAAGGAATTGGTCATTGTGTGTGTGACACAGAAATGCACTTGGTATGGTGTGCGGTGTGTGCACAAGCCCGGAAAATAGGCATCATTTATCACCTCCTGTGCTCTCCCACACTGCTTACACATGACTTCAAGATTTTTTTAAAAGCACTTTTTTAAATAAAAGATTTTATTTATTTGGGGGAGAGAGAGAGTGCGAGCGCCAGGGGGGGGGGGGGGGCAGGAGTGGGGGAGCCACACAATGACAGAGCAGGAGGGAGAGGGACAAGCAGACTCCGTGCTCAATCTCATGACCTGGGCCAAAGTCAGAGTTGGCCGCTGAACCAACTGAGCACCAGGCGCCGAGTAAGCATTTTACTCTAGGAGGGAGGCTTCCTTCGATGGCAGGGCGTTCGGAAACCGCCTGGGAGCAGCGCTTGCAGGCAGGAAGAGGCGGGTAACGGGCCTGGATGGAGGCACTGTGCTTCCTTCCCTCAGCCCCCCGTGAAGCCAGCACGGATACACATGCAGTGCAGAAAGAGTGGGCCCGCCGTGCAGGCAGAACAGTGTCACACGTCACACAAAAACCCCGTCCCCTCCTGGTTAGAGACTCGGAGTCTGGCACCCAGAGGGGAGGCCTGGAGCAGGGCCCCCCATTAGTGCCGCAGAGCGCCCTGGCGCACATACACGCGTCCCCTTGTTGGGAGCCAGGGGCACACGAGGGCAGGGAACAGAGCAGATTTCCCCCCAGTTTTGTGTGTGTATGAGACCGTTTTTCTGCCACTTCACCCTCGTGAGGGGAGACGTGTGATGGGTTGATGGGTTCTTAGACCCGGCGGCTGTGTCATCTCGGCAGCCTCTACCCCTCCCCGCAGGGCGTCACCAGACCGGGGGGGGGGGGGGGGGGGGAGCGGACAGCCGGTGCGAACAGCTAGAGCAAGGTGCAGGGGATGTGGGGTCGGTGGTGCAGCGAGAGGGCCGTCGGGCTGTGCTGGGGAGAGGACATCTGAGAAACACGCGTCCTAGGCCAGGGAAGTGGCCCGTGGCTCCCTAAAGCATTGAGTGGCAGCGAGTGGCCCGGGAGGGGGACAGGACAAGGAGGACTGTCTGGAAGAGACTGTGGCTTCTCTCCATGCCAGCCTTAGGAGGCAGAGCCGCGTCTCAGCTGTAGCGGGCCTCGGTAAGTGAGGGGGACGCAGTTACGCTTTTTAAAACTTGCAATTATAGAAAATTTTCAAATACAAAAATAGAAAAAAAAAATACAATGAACTGGATATACCTTTTATTTATTATCCTTGTGGCCAGTCTTTTTTTTTTTTTCTTTTTTTTTTAAGTGATCTCTACACGCAACGGGGGGCTCAAATTTATGACCCTGAGATCAAGAGCTGCACGCTCCACCGAGCCAGCCAGGTGCCTTTCCTTGTGTCCAGTCTTATCTCTGTATGCCACCCTGACTGTTTTGAAGCCAGTCCTAGATAACGTCATTCATCTGCAGATATTCCATTTATAACTTGAAAAGATAATTCTTCAGTGTACGCGTGTATGTGTGTGTGTGTAAAACTCCCACTGACATGTTAAACAGGTTTGCTTATTTGAATCAGGATACAAATAAGGTCCATAAATTGTGATTGGTTGATGTGTCTCTTGTCTTTTGTAATCTTAGGTTTCTTTTACTCTACAGGCTCCCTTCAGTTTTTTTTGTAGCAGTATTTTTCTTTTTTTCTTTTTTTTTTTTTGGTGAGTAAAGCTATAGAAGTTTATTAAGTGAAGATACAGAAAAAAAACTCAAGAGTGAGAGTGGTCCTGACAGGGTTGCTTGTAGCAGTATTTTTCATGCATAAACCAAGTAGCTTGTCCTAGAATCTGAATTCCGCTGCTGATTACACCCCCCGTGGTTTCATTTAGCATATTCCATTGTCCCTTGATAGTCTTTAAATTGATTCAGGATTGATCCCCGCCCCCCAACCCAGATTTCTGCAAGACTTTCATAGGTAGTGGTGGTGTTTCTGTCAGGAGGCACATCATCTGATGGCCGGTACCTAGACCCATGTGTTCAGTAAGGGGTGTACTGTGGAGAGACTCTGATTCTGCCATTCCTTCTTCGTTTATTGGCTGGAGCATCTGTAAAGCAGAATTTCCCCTAATCAGCTGTTCCTTACTTGAGGACCAGGCAAGAAGTAAACAAGTGGTGGCTTCAGTTGCAGAACGTTGGCTCAAGAAATGCGTAGGCCCCAAACCTCGGCGAGTGAGCTCCGTGACTGCTTACAGGTGTCTCGGGGAGGGCACGAGATGAGCTTGCCACCCATGCAGCAGGACACATTTGTCTGGGTTTCGGCGGCTGCCAGACATTCGGTTGGGAAAAGTACTTCTCTGTGTTCTCGTTTAGAGAGAATTGCAGCCTTGTTGGAAATAGACAAAGCGGAGGCTGTTGTTTGAGGGTGATAGGTCCTTTGTAAATGATGACTGAACACGTGAAGCACTTAGTGTCCTGTTGATGCTGATGTCCCTTCAAGAGATGATGTGAAAAGGTGGAGTGAAGCTCGAGCCTGGGAAGGCTTTGAAGAAGGTGGCCCTTGAGCTGAGCTTTGAAGGATGGGGAGGAGAATGCATTGGGCTTGCCAGGCTAGGGAGCAGTATGAGCAGAGAGTGAGGATGGCTGAAGGAAGCTGAGGATTATGGGAAGTTACTCTGTGGCCGGCCCTGGGTGATCGGTGGGCACATGAAAATGCAGTGGGCATCACATGTGTTCTCTTGGAGTACAATGAAAACCGTATTTCCTGACACTGAAGAAAAGGAGACAGGGTCCTAGAAGGTAGTCATTGAATGGCATGGCGAAGGAACCCCACCAGAGGTTGTGGCACCTGCTGGCAGGGCTCCCGGGGCCCCTGCCTGGAGGACTTGACTGGGATGGAAAGCTGGGCTTTTCCACAGAACCGGGGAGCAGCTGGGTCACTCACAGGGACCCTGGAATCTTCATCCCAGAACCCAGTGCCCAGCTGTAGATGACGACCTTTCCTAAGTGAAACACATGCCCTCAGTCCCAGTAGCAAGGTGTTCACCCCAACGGGATTCATGTCAGATAAAAGGCTGTTCGTCCTTTTGATTACTCAACAGCTGCGGACAGAATGTCAGATTAACCAAAGGCCTCGTGGAGCCTGGAGGTGGCGCCTCATCTCTGCAGATGTAGGGCCCCGGGCTGCTGGCTGGGGCTCTGTGCACATTCACGACCGCGCTGGGCCCGGCTCTTTGGGAGAGGGAGGGGGCATATCGTGCAGATGGTTATTAGGACCCTTAATAATGAGCAGAGCAACCAAAACTGAGCAGTTTTCACGTATAAATTAGCGAAGTTTTGGTGGTGGTGGTGGTGGTTTTTTGTTTTAACTTGTATTTGCGTGTGTTCTATGCAGAATTTACTCCAGGGCCGTAAGTTTTTGTTTCTTCAGTTTCTTCTGGGATATCGTTCTTCTCCTGTGCAGCCTCCTCTTCTGGTTTAGTAACAATCTGCTCTTTTCCGTCAGGAGCATCTCAGGGTGGCAGGGAGGGTGGCAGGGAAAGCGCACGTGTGGGCCAATCCGGCCACGAGCCCTGTAAGCTCCACGCCACGTCTTGGCGGCTTTGTTCCCTTGGATGTGCTCCATGACCAGAGAATCCGCGTCTAACCCCTTCAGTTCAGCATGACTCTGCATTTTTAAGCATGTGCAGTAAAAATACAGCACACTCTTGGGGACATCCATCCTGTGTCCAGCTCCGCCATTTGGCCTGGCCACGCATCCCACCTCCAGCGCTCCAGCGTGGTGACAGCTTGGGTCATGTTGCTTCTGCAGAGTGACATCTTTAGAAACTTGGTGGCTTTTCAGATATGCTTCCTCTTGATGGCCTGGGCCATTTCACATGTGTTCTTAAAGTGAACGTGAAGGTTTGAACCTCTTGATTTGCCTGATTTTGTAGGGTTTTCTGGGTCAAGTGAATAGTGAACCATTTTCAGAGATCACCTCAGGCTGCTTACTGGAAAAGCGTTGTTACTATTTTTAATGGGAATGTCCAGTGCTGGGAGGATATGGTGAGACAAACACTTAAGCTTGGTGGTGGGTGTCCATTGTCACATTTCTAGAAAGCAGTTAGGCCCCATGGCTTAAGAACCTTGATACATACAGTCTGAACCTTTCACCGGGTAACTAAAGTTCTGGGCATCTTGCTTTAAGGGGTCATCAAAATTGCCATGACTTCTATTCACAAAGATATTGCTGCCATTGTTTGTTTGTTTGTTTGTTTGTTTTAAGATTTATTTTGGAGAGGGGTTCCTGGGTGGCTCAGTCATTAAGTGTCTGCCTTTGGCTCCGGTCATGATCCCAGGGTCCTGGGATCAAGCCCCGCATCGGGCTCCCTGCTCGGCGGGAAGCCTGCTTCTCCCTCTGCCTCTGCCCCTGCTTGTGTTCCCTCTTTCGCTGTGTCTCCCTCTGTCAGATAAATAAAATCTTAAAAAAAAAAAAAAAGATTTATTTTGGAGAGAAAGAGAGTGGGGGCAAGGGGCAGAGGGAGAGAAAGAGAGTCCTAAGCAGACTCCACACTGAGTGTAGGGCCTGACACGGGGCTCAGTCCCACATCCCTGAGGTCGCGACCCAAGCTGAAACAAGAGTCGGATGCGCAACCAGCCGACTGCGCCACCCAGGCATCCCCATTGCTGCCATGGTTTTAATGGTGAAAAATTAGAAAAAACCCAAATGTTCAATATCAGGCATGATATTGGGTTTATATAAGATCTTATAGGATGGATTATTATGTGGCCCCCTCTTTACATTTCTCACCTTTTGTGGGAAAATGCTTGTAACATGAATTAAGCAGGAGTACAAATTGTAGACAGACAGATACCTATGTGGTCAGCCAGGAGGGAAAAATGCACTGAAAAGAACTAGAAGGAGAACATGAAAACATTATTCCAGATTATCTCTGAGCAAGGAGTTAATGGGTAAGATTTCAGATGGAACAAAATGACATTTTAGGACATTTGGATCCAGCAAAATGGGAGAAGAGCTGCCTGGCAGATGCGCAGATGCAGCAGGGAGGGGAAAGGCCTGTTGTGTGTGGGAACACTGGTTTCGTCTGCCTGGGGGTGGGCTCAGAAGCTCCAGGCCCTGAAGTACACCCTCTCACTGAGGCAATGATATTTTTGTGGTTTCTCAGGTTCAGATTCAGAATAAGAAGGTGGACATCTCTAAGGTCTCCTCCAAGTGTGGGTCCAAGGCCAACATCAAGCACAAACCTGGTAAGTGTGTCCCCCTGAGCCCAGCATGCCTGGGGCGTGCGGTCTTGGCCAAGGCCGCTGGGTTTCACCCCAATGTATCTGTCATTCCATAAAGATTGCTGGAGCCGCCCCCACCCACCCAGGAGGCAGCGATGGAAACCACGCAGTTCCGTGCCTGTCGGGGGGGTTGGGGGGGATCCTTTGTGCCTCTGAGGAGGAACAGGTCGTGAAGGCCACCGTTGGCACGGGCACCACTGTCTCAAGCACCTGCCAGGAGCTGATGCGGAGGGAGTTGTCGCATTGGGAGCAGGGCCCATCCCGAGGCACTGAAACCTCAGCGGCCGGCTGGCGGGTCACAGAGTCGGTCCGCGGTGCTGCCCAGGCTGCAGCTGGGGGTGTCCCTGCTGCGGTAGGGGTGCAGTTCGCCCGGGCCCCGGGCAGGCAGATCTGGCTTCGCGGAGGCAGGCACCGGGGCCAGTTCCCTCTTGGCAGAAAGTGTTATCGTCCATTTTAGAATATGTTCTGTTTAAAAGGATCAAAACAGTTTGGCCCTTAGCTCCCTGTCATTTTCCCCCTTTTATCTGGAAAACCCACTCTTGTGTGATACCTCCCTCCCGAGTGCCGCTGACTGACTGGAGGTCCGGTTTTTGGCGGGGGTGGCTTCAGTGGGTCGGCGAGCTGGCGAACTTGGCAAGAAACTGCGTGCTCTGGTTTGGGACGTGAGCCGAGGAGACGGCCGCGTGAGGGAAGCCAGGCTGCGGGAACTGGAGAGGGGCGGACCCCCCGGGATCCTGTGGCCACACCGTGGCTGGGAGCTCTGAACCTCACCCTAGTGCCCCAAGCACGCAAGGGCACTGGGCCCCGGGGCCAGGCCAGGCCTATCCCTTCTCAACTCAGTGCCCAGATGACTCCTGCCTCTCCCCCTTTTCCTACACTACAAAGAAGCCACTTTCCTTCTTGTCACTACAGTGTGGCTCAGTTGAACAGCTCAGACAGACCACACTCCATCCTGTCTCTGTCCGTCACCAGCTCGATGGTGACTTTGGGCAAGGCACTCTTGCCCAGCATCAGCCCTAGCAGCTGTGAAACCAGGATCCCGACCCTGACAGGGCGTTCGTAGACTGAAAGGAAGCTGGGGCGCCCCGTGCCCCCAGTCAGTCAGAGGGAGCTGTTAACGTTGCCAAGAGAACCTAAAGCAGACCCCTCGAGGCTCCTTTAGGGGCTTGGCTGGAGGCTGTGCGGTGGAGGTGAGGGGGACTTTTCTCTGCGGAGGCATTCCTGCCAGCCAGGGGCAGGTCGTCAGCCCCACTTTGAGATGAGCCCTGTGTGACGAGCACACTCACTGTCCTTTCGTCCAGTGTCCCCAGAGCTGCTGGGAGCAGGTCACGTTGGTGTCTGTACTGGGCACGTAGCTAGTCCTTGGCCAAGCTAGGGTCTCTGCTCCAGCCTCCTGGCTTTGCCTGTGTCACTGGTGGTTTTTTTGGTTCCAGGTGGAGGAGATGTCAAGATCGAAAGTCAGAAGCTGAACTTCAAGGAGAAGGCCCAGGCGAAGGTGGGATCCCTCGATAATGTGGGCCACCTGCCTGCAGGAGGGGCCGTGAAGGTAGCGAGTGGGGCAGCAGGGGTGGCCGCTTGGGAGGGGTGGGTGGGGTGGTGTAGCCAGAGTCTGGGTCCCAGCAGCTAGGCGCCTGTCACCGCCCCTCAGTATCGTCAGGAGTCCTGTTGCCCCCACACCAGTGTGTGTCCCCATGTTCATCATCAGTCCTGAGTGAGGCAGGAGAGGTAAAGAGGCCTCGGCCCAGACGCCTGCGCCCTGTCTACCTAGAGACAGAACCTCTCTCGGGAGCCACGGCCCGCCTGCCTTCCTGAGCCCATCTCAGCCATGTCCAAAGGGCCTGCGGGCTGGGGCGTGGCTCCCCCACAAGGCGGGTGGTCTGCGTGGCACCGCTGTCCCCAGCTACCTCACGAGAGGCCATGTGGGGATGTGTTCCATGCCAGGCGCGCGCCAGGCTGGGGCTCCGCCAGAGCGTGCAGGCGGGCAGGGCTCCCCATGCTCGGGACAGGCTGGCCTCTCCTGCCTTCCCTCCCTCCCTCGTGCCTTCCCTCCCTCCCTCCTTCCACAGCGCCGTGAGACCCTTTGTAAAGTGCCAGGATGCTGTTACCCTCTGTTCCATGTTGGGGGGCGGGGGGGGACCCGTGGGGGCAGCATCCCGCAGGCTTCCAAGCATGAGGATAGCTGCAGCTGCTCGGGGCAAGGTGAGCAAGGGGGAGGGCAGAGAGCAGCTGTGGCGGGCCTTCCGTCTGCCCAGCCCAGCCCAGCCTCCGTCCAGCGCTTCCGTCGGTGCTCCCATCGGTGCTCCCATTCAAGGCCTGGCTGGCTTCCGTGAATATTTGGGGCCCTGGCTCTGTCGCAGGCTCTCAGTCGTGCCTCCGTACCTTGTGAGGAGCCACTCCCTAGTCAGTCCTCGTGGGGCACTAGCTCGGGTGTCGTCACTTGTCCGAGGCCACGTGGCAAGTACCCGCAGACCAGGGTTTACACCTGGACCTTCTGACCCCCAAGTCTTGTGTTCTTTTCTTTATTCACATCATCTCCCTTTCTTTATTATTTCTGGAATTGTTTTTCTAATACAGAGGCCTGTCTCCTTCACTAATCTGATTAGAAACCACTGTGGAGTCTCCGTTGTCATCTTGTGGGCATTCTGGGGCCCAGGGGTTCCAGCTCCCCCCGCCCCAGCCTTCCCTCTTCTGCTTTACTCACACCGGCTGCTCACTGCCCACCCCATCCACCTCCTGAGAAACCCTGCAGGCCCTCAAAGTTTCCCTGGGTCACACTTGGGACATCTGTGGTCCCCAGGCGAGGGTGCCCAGCACAGAAGAGGCCTCAGTGTCTGGAGGTGGCTCGGCTAGATGAGCAGGCAGGGCTGCCCCCTCTGCGGCGGGGGCGGTCTGGGATTCGCTGGGTCCGAGGTGGCGGGCTGCACCCCTCCGAACTGACTTCGGGCTCGGCGCTCCCTGGCTGGCCCGCGGCAGCCCTGCCTCCCAGCCGCTCCCAGAGCCACGCTCTAGCGGTCGTGCCCAGGGTTTCTGCTGGCGACCCGCCGTCACGGCGAGCTGCTTGGGGCCAGCCTTGCTGAGAAGCCGGCACGTCCCTCCTCTCACTTCAGAAAGACTTCCGGAAGCCTTGCCCTTCCCAGAGGAGTCTCCCAGAGCGTGTCCCCGCTCGGCCGCACGCTGGGCCTAGGGCTGCGCGCCTGCTCCCGGGCCCCGCGTTCTTGCTCTGCGCCGGGCCGGCAGTCGCCGCACGGGCAGGGGTGGGGAGGGGAGTACCTGGCCTAGATTCTTCGGACGACCGTTCGGTAGTCGTGGGGGGCGGTGGGGGCAGGGGACTGTGTGTAAAACCCACCACCATCACCCATCCCACCTCCTCCCCGACTGACCCTGCACTGTCTCCCCCACTGTTTCATTGTAGACTGAGGGCGGTGGCAGCGAGGCCCCTCCGTGTCCGGGCCCCCCCGCTGGGGAGGAGCCGGCCATCCCTGAGGCAGCGCCCGAAGCTGGCGCCCCCACTTCAGCCAGTGGCCTCAGTGGCCACACCACCCAGGCAGGGGGTGGTGACCAAAGGGAGGCCCAGACCTTGGACAGCCAGATCCAGGAGACAAGTAAGTGGCTGGGCTTGGCCTGAGGGCCGGCCGGGGGCCCTGCCACTGGCTGTTAATTGAAACTCCTTTTCTTTTTTTGACTAGAGTGTGGCGTAAAGTTTAACCAAGCAACCTTTTATTTTCCAGGCATCTAATGATGACATTCTGGTCTCGTCTTCCATCCCCTGTGTTCCCCCTCTTGTGTCCCTTGTTACCCCCTCCCTTCCCTCCTCCCGTGTCACTGCAGATTGAGACCTACAGGCTGACGTTCCGGGCAAATGCCAGGGCCCGCACCGACCACGGGGCTGACATTGTCTCCCGCCCCCCCCACTTCCCTGGCGGCCCCAGCTCAGGCACCCGGGCCCTTGGCTCTCTCTCCCGGGCTGCGATCTAGACCCCACACGGCTTGGGTGCTGGGCAGTCCTCCAGGCTCCCACCCCCTTCCCCCTGCCTTGCTTGCCCAGGGCAGCAGCAGGCCCGCCCCCAAAACCTCATCTACTCCCTGCCCTGGCCCCCACCCCACCCCCGCTCCTTGCTTTGTTCCTGTCCCATCATTGCGCACCGCTCTGCAGACGAGGTTGGGAGGTGAATGGGGTGGAGAGGCCAACTTGGGATCTTATGGGATCTGGGGTGGTGGGGAGCCAGATTCCAACCTCCTCTTTGGGTTTTTTGGACCAAACCCAAGAGAAACTGACATAGCTGCCCTCCTCGCTGGGTCCACTGAAGAGAAGAGTGGAATTGGACGGCCACGCGGTGGCAGGATGCTGACTGCCTCCCCCAGAGCCCGCTAGGCCACTGCCTCTCCCGTTGACCCCCTCCGTGGTGCCCACCGTGCAGGTGGGGCCAGGCGCATCTTGCTGCCCTGCCCCAAGTTAGTTAGGGGTCGGCTCGTACTGTCCCCACTGCTTCCCGTACCTGCCTAGCTGCTGTCACACTCTTTTCTTGTTTTATCTTTTTTTTTTTAATAACCTAAAAACTGGTAGAGGAATTTCGCAGGTTGAAGCCATGTCTAAATGAAAAGTCCTCGGTAGGTGTTAAAGGAAACAGGGAGGAGAGATCCTTAAGCCTCCAGCCAGGAGGTCAGGCATCAGGGGCTGCCCCGGCTTGGGCAGCTTGGGGCCCCGGAGAAGGTGTGGGCAGGGCAGTGAGATGCAGGGGCTGTGGCCTGGTGAGCAGGTAGGGCACACTAGGAGCTGGTCATGTGGACCGGTGGTTCTGGTATTGTGTGTGTATGCTGCTTTTCTTTTCTAACCAAGAGGCTGGTTTTGGCATCTCTGTCTCATTCCCTGGGATCTAGTGGGAGATACAAGTTCGGGGCTGGAGAAACAGGGAAGGGCTGTGGAGGTCAAAATCCTCCAGACTCACGGGCCTAGGACACCAGAGCCCTCAGTTACCAGGGAGCCCAAGATGTCCAGAACTCATGTGGGTGTTGGGGAATCAGGTGTGGAAATTTTAAAAAGGCATGAGACAGGCCATCTCCACCCCCGCCACAGCCTGACTGGGGAGGGGGGAGAGGCGAGGCCAGCCTGTGGAGGGGTGTCCCAGCTAGGCCCGGTCTTGGGATGGCTGCAATGATGAGAAATCCCGGGAATTGTATTGACACGAAGATTCTTATTGCACTTGTATTTTTTTTTTTTTTATTAAAGTTTGCATGGTTTCTAATAAAGGATTAAAATGTAACAGTTTGTAGTGAAATGGCCGGGGAGTCTCCGAGGGCGCCTCCTCCGGAAGAGCATTTCCTGCAGTGCAGACTTGCCCCCGAGGAGGCCCGCGGACTCGGCCCCTCGCCGCCCCCCTTCCTGGAGCCCAGAACGTAGGGGTTCTTAGGTTCAGATCGGACGTCCGTGTAGAGGGAGGGCATCGGGGCCGGCAGGTTCTCCCACCTCTGCGGTAGCGTTTCCCTCGGGGAGGTGGGACCCCACCTCTGCAGCTCCCCGAGCGCAGGCTGCAGGGGTCTTCCCCACACCAAGGACTGCAGAATGCTGTGTGCCAGGGACACCGGGGCACCCGTGTTTTGTCAGCAGGAGGAAGGGGCCGAAGGAAGCTGGGGAGGAAGCGGTAGACGGTGCAGGGCCTGAAGGTCCCGGTGCCCTCCTTGTGTTAGTCCCGGGGCCACACACGTGCTGAGGTGGACAACTGGTCCGAGGGTAGGGGTGGGAGAGGTGACCCTTGTGGAGAACGGTCTAGGTGGGCTGGAGTGGTCCCAGCTCCCTTGAAGTGTCCCCCAAACCCGAGAAGCAGAGAAGGCGCCCTCACAGCGAGGGGACCCCCTGCAGCCGTGTGGGGGTGCATCTCTGTACCTCCAGTTTGCTTCTGGCTCAGCCACTGCCTGTGTCAATCTGTGGTTCTGTTGTACCGATTTCAAGAGTAAATAAAGCTCGTGATGTCCCATCACACAGGCTGTCTCTTCTGTACGTTCCGCGGTCTGGTCGGTCCCCACCGCCAGCGTCCCTGACCTCGCCGCCCCCCCCCCCCCGGCAGCTCGTCCCCCGGCATCGAGGGGCTGCAGTGCACTGCGCAGTCTTGATGACCTTAGCCCCTCATCTGTGAACCGTGGATGTGACCGAAGTCCCAGCTCATGGAAGGGCCACTACACAACCGAAGGCCCCTCGAAGGTTGGGGTTCAAGTGGCCTTGGCTGCCTGGGGAACTGCTCCCCGGTTCTGCTCGGGGTGAGGAGCACGAGGGAGGCCTGGGCGAGTGCGTGCTCCACACCCGCCGGCCCAGCCTGAGGGGACAGGAGTGTGGGTGCTGCGGCCCCGAGACAGGAGCCCCCCCCGCCCCCGGCGGACAGCAATGCTCACAAGGGATAAATAGAACTTTATTTTAAATAAACATTTGCACTCTGTACACGGCCCCAGCAGACGGGGGGGGGGGGGGGGGGCTCAGTCGTCCGCCGTCTTGCGCACGTCAAAGCTGCCACAGGGCCCCCGCAGCAGCTCCGCCAGCAGCGCCAGCAGCTGCCCGTGCTCCTGCTGCACGCCCGGCGGCAGCGCGGCCAGCTCACTGCGCAGGCTCCGCTCCACCATGCGGCCCAGCGCCCGGCGCAGCTCCCGCAGCAGCCGCACAGTGCGCGAGTCCCCCTCCAGCCGCAGCAGGTCACTGTCACTCAGGGAGATGGTGGCCCGGCGCCCATCATCTGCGGGGGGGCGGGGGGGGCGGGGCCGAGAGGCGGCACAGAGGTGAGGTGAGGTGAGGTGAGGTGAGCGCGGGCTGCCCCCGCCCCCCTCAGGCCACAGACCAGCCCAAGCTGCAGTGGGGCAGGAGGGGCGGGCCAGTACCCACCACGGATGTGCACGTCCCCGTCGGTCAGCAGCAGCACGGCTAGCGGGTGCACCTGCGAGGAGTCCCGCACGAAGACACTGCCGTTGGACTTGACGGCCATGAAATACGTCAGCCATCGGCTCCGCAGCCGCGTGGCCTCCCTACGGAACAGAGCGTGGGGGGGGTGAGCCCACCCTTCTGGACCCGGCCAGCCACCCCTCCCCGGCCCTGCCTGCCCCCCACCTGTTAATGGTCGACTTGTGCAGCAAGATGTTGCCTGATTTGGTCCTGTAAGTGACGCTGTTGGGCTTGAACTTGCCCTGCCGGGTCACCTTGCCCTGCCTCACCTGCGAGGATCAAAGGAGAGAGGGGCGGGCTGAGCGAGGAGCCCCGGGGCGGCAAAGGAGGCTGGGGCCCGCCGGCCCCTCTCCCGAGGCAGCACCTGGATGAGGTTGGGGTAGAGGCCGGCCATGAGCACGCCCTTCACCAGCTCCTCCTCCTCGCTGTACTCGTTGCACTGGGCAGAGGCCAGGGTGCAGTCGGAGGGCTTTCCCACCAGGAAAGCCTCGTAAATGTTCTCTGAGAACTGCTTGATGAGTCCTGAGGAGGGGAGGGCGGGCTGAGCCTGCGGCCCCCTAAGCCCCAAGGCTGGGGAGCCACAAGCCTGCGCCCTGGGCCAGTTGTGGGGGGGGGGTTGGGGGGAGCCGCTGACCGTGGATGAAGCGCAGGCTGGGGGCGTAGAGCAGGTTTTCCTCCAGATAGTTCTCACGGGAGCTGCGGTCCTGCCAGCGCAGAACCTCCTCCCAGCCCGCCACGGCCCGCACGAAGGCCAGGTGGTCACTGCCGCTGTCATGGCTCAACAGCGCCTTCACCTGGGAGGGAGCGGGAGGGCCACAGGGTGAGCGGTGGCAGCGGCAGCGGCTTTCCGGACAGAGGGCGGGGGAGGGGCCGGGTCTGACCTTGTCCACCTCCGCCCGGTTCTGCAGGCTACTGCTGAAGGGGTCCCGGGTGAGACAGGAGACGACCACCAGCAGCGGGTGCAGGCAACGGAAGATGGCGGCCAGCACTATGGCCTTGGCCAGCCGGGGGTCGGTGGAGATGTGGGCCAGGCGCTGCCCCAGGGTGGTCAGGTACTCCCGCTGGTCCAGCACTCCTGCAACAGCTCAGCGGTCAGACTCACCCTTGAGCGCCACGCTGCGGCCCGGCCCGGCCCGGCCCCCCACTCACCGATCTCCTGGAGCAAGATCACAGCCTCGTCCACCGCCTTAATGTTTGGACTGTCCACAGCCTTGGAAAGGAACTCCACCGCCTACGGCAAGAAACAGCCAGAGCCCGCCGTGAGCCCCACATCCCACCTTCCCTCACCAAGTCCAGCCCTGGCCCGGCCCCGCCTCTGGCGCACCGTCTTCTCAGGCATGTGGATTTTGGCTTGTAGCACCAGGTTCTCGAGGGGCGTGCGCAGAATCTCCGGCACTTGGAAAGGGACCATTTTCTCCAGCCGGCTCCGCGGGAACAGGTGGTAGGCAAAGCCTGACTGGCAGCGGCCCGCCCGGCCCCGGCGCTGGATCACATTGGCTCGTGACACCCACACAGTCTCCAGGCACGACACCTGGGGGAGGGGGCAGGGGAGCAGTGACGCAGAGGCCAACAGGCCTTCCTCAGCGCTGCCCCTCGTCTGGCCTTCACCTCACTTAAACCCTCAACGGCCCCCCCCACAACAGGGACACCGACAGCCCATGAGTGTGGCCTTCTCCGGACACACACGGCAAGTCCAAGGCTGATCGGGGCTGGGGGCCACCTCGGAACTTGTAGTTCTTCCCCCAGGGGCTGGCTGGGCCCGGGAGACGGGTGCCACCTTGGTCTTCAGGTCATAGCGTTCCTCCTTGTGCAGACCGCTGTCCACCACATGCACGATGTCATTGACTGTGATCGACGTCTCCGCGATATTGGTGGCCAAGACAATCTTGCGCACCCCAACTGGCGGCTGCTGGAATATGGCCTTCTGGTCCATCATGGGGATGTTGGAGTGCACTGGTGGGCAGCAAGAACACGCTGGTTATGGGTACTGCTCCTGCTCCCTGTGATGAGGGTACCAGGCAAGGATTTTGACCCCATTTTGATGAAACGGAGACCCAGATCAAGAACACGTATCTGCCCAGTCAAGGTGGAAAAGCCAGCAAGAGCAGGGCAGCCTGGTCAGAAACCCAGGCCCGCTGAGTCCCAGCTGGATAGGAGTCCCCAGGCCAGAGGGCCAGACTGGTGTCAGGGCAATCGCGCCTCACTCGCCCGCTCTCACCTGGCAGGATGAGGTACTTGCTCTCGTGCATGCCCAGGGCCTCCTGGAGGCGTTGCTGCACTCCTTTGATCTCCTGCCAACCAGGCAGGAAGCAGAGGATCCCACCTGTAAAGGGGCCCTGCAGGCATGAGCCGTCACTCTCGGCAGCTGGAGGGCAGGGTGGGCACAGGGCGGGGGAGGGGGAGCACCCACCTGGCTCCCCTCGGGCATCGATGTGCAGAACCAGATCCGTCACAAGGTCCAAATCGAGTGCACACTCATCCTCAGACTGGGGGTGGGGGTGGGGGGAGAGGCCACAGTCACAGCCCCCCCAGGGGAGGATGCAGCCACTCTGTGACTCGGCGAGGCCAAGGCACTCAACAGTCACCCCTAACCCTCACCGCCCTCTCGCCCAGAAGCCCTGATCATTCCGTTTCTATCAAGGACACCGAGACTTGGGAGCACAGCCTTGCCCTCGGCCAGGGCGCCACAGGGACAGGGAGGCGGGCAAGCCAGGGCAAAGGCCGAGGAGGGCGGGCGCGGGCGGGTCCCCTCACCTCGTGGTGCCGGTGCCGGTGCGGGTACTGGTGCTTGCCCAGCTTGGCCAGGATGTCCTCCAGGTAGTGCTCCTTGACCGGGTACATGAAGCCCGGCACCTTGATGACAGGGCAGCCACCAAAGTAGCGGGAGAAGCGCTCGTTATCGCCCGTGGCGCTCATCAGCACTAGCCGCAGGGCCGGGTTGAGCCGCTGCAGGCCCTTGAGCAGAATCAGCAGGAAGTCTGTATTCACGTCCCGCTCGTGGACCTCGTCCACAATGACGTGGCTCACGCCCTCCAGGCTGGGGTTGCTCTGCAGCTTCCGCAGCAGGATGCCCACGGTGCAGAAGAGCAGGGCCCCGCCACGGGCCGGGGGCTTGCTTTCCAACCGCACCTGGAAGCCCACGTTCCGGCGCAGAGAGGGGCCCAGTTCGTGGCTGACCCGCTGTGCCACGGACACAGCAGAGATGCGCCGCGGCTGGGTGATGATCACGTTGCAGCGGGCGCCACGGCCCTCGGTCACATAGCGCTCCAGCAGCAGCTGGGGGATGCGTGTGGTCTTGCCACAGCCTGTGTCCCCAGAGATGACCACCACTGGGTGCTGCTCGATGGCATTGAGGATGGTGTCCCGATGCGGGTCCACGGGGAGCTGGGGGGCCTCCTGCCAGACTGGCCCTCGCCGCCGCCACAGCTCCAGCAAGTTCTGGCTCAGACGTACCTCCTCTGCTTCTGACAGGGGCACGTAGGGCTTGCCTGTGATAGGGTCACTCAGGGGCCCTGAGTCCTTGCCCAAGGGCAAGATGTCCTCACTCTGCAGCCGGAGCTCCGGGGAGATCCAGGAACTGTCCACAGGGTACTGAGGGATGGGAGAAGCAAGCACAACGGTGAAAGACCGATACCTTCTTCCTCATTCACTCGCGATACCCTCCACACGGTTCACCGGGGCCGGACGCGAAGGCCCAGCCTGCTGGAGGGGGACTCCGTGCACGACTGCCCGAGGACGTTCTCGGGCAAGACGGGGCTGCTCGGGGCAAGGGTGCTCCCGGGCTCCGGCCTCCGGCCTCAGTGGGGACAACGGGTGGGTGGCACTGCCCGCGGCACGTGTGGAGGCTTTCAGTCAGGAGAAGCTGGAGGCGGGCAGGGGGCAGGGGTAGGGCGGCCTTCTCTGGGCTCTCTTACATGGTTCAGGAAGGTCTCTATCTTTCGGAGGATGGGCTCAGGCACCTGAATGGTGCACGGCCGGCGCTGCGTCTCGCCCAGCTCACGCAAGGAGGCCAGGTTATACATGGCGTGGGTAAGCGGCTCGTTGTTGCGATCCACCAGGCCCAGGCTCTGCAGCGGGGACAAGCACAGCTTGCTCTGGGACCCTGCCTCCCCGGAACCAGTGCAAACAGGCTCGGGAGCTTGAGAGAAATCACGCAGAGCAACAGTTTCTCTAAGAGATTTTGGTTTTTAGCAGACATTGTACAGAAGAGAGTAATTAGGAATCTGGAAAATGTAAATCTCCACTCCTATCCCAAAATTTAACTAGTTAAAATCATTCCAAGGAAAACAAGACCTGACGTGTCCAAGAGGAATGCCCCTCAGAAACCTCTCCTTGAGCAGCGGGGGCCCCCACAACAGCCCAATCTCGCCTCTACGAATTCCCAGCACGGACCACTAAGCCAGGAGGGCCAGGCTCTTACTGACCCCATCACAGCCTCACAGCACCTGTTTTCACTACCTCCAAAGCACACCCCCTTCCCCCCACAACCTTTCTGGTCCACATGGCACCCATTCCACCTGTGACCCCATCTTACAAACACAGGTGAACGTTCCTAGAAATGTTTATTCACACAACTCGATAAACACTGCGTCTTGCTTCCCTACATGTCCAAAGTCACCTCAGCAGACCTAACCCAAGGCATCCCAACACCTCAGGCAGGTGTGCAAAACCGGTTCTTCTAACCCCAGTCCTGTGTTCCTGTCCCCTGTGCTATCAGGACTGCTCGCCCCCTAAATCTCCGAGACTCCCTCCTTCAGGAACACTGCCCCCACAGGGGCTCACCCCCTCCACACTCATGACCGACCTCAAGGACAAGCATCTAGTCCCTGGGCCACGGAGGCGCCCACACAGCCACCTTGCCCCCCCCGGAGGCTTCCACCTTTCCCAGGCCTGCGAGTTTCCCTGTGGCCTCGGAGCAGCGGCCGGCCCGGGGCTGTCTCTCGCACTGCTGCCACCTGGGAGCTGGCTCCTTCCCACGACACAGCTCGCCCACGCTGTGAGGCTCCTGATCACCAGCGCCCGTGGCTATCCAGCTAAAAGTCAGACTTCTGCCAAGTGCCATCCATTAGCCCCAGTTCTGCCCTCTGGAGCCACAGGTTCCTGTACCTCTCCCTCTCTAAGATTTTACTAATTGATTCAGTCATTCACTGGTTTATTTGAGTGAGAAAGCGCACACACGCCAAGTGGGAGGAGGGGCAGAGGGAGAGACTCGCACGCAGACTCCCTGCTGAGTGCGGAACCCAACCACTGGGCCTCGATCCCAGCACCCTGAGATCATGACCTGAGCTGAAACCAAGAGTCGGATGCTTAACCAACTGCACCCCCCAGGCGCCCTAATCCCTCCTCCATTCTCCAGGCTCTCGCTACCTCTCACCATCAGCTGTGTCTAAAATGGGGTTCCCAGAGCCGAGCGCACACCAAAGGCATATCTGACCAGAGCAGAGGGCAGGGCCTCCTTGCCCTCTCGCTCTGCACACTAAGCCTGTGCTGATGGGGGTCAGATCACCCCCTTCTCAGGCAGTCATGGCTGTGCTGGCTCCCACCGCTGGGCACAGCTGGCCTTCGCAGCCTCTTCACGGGAACTGCCTCACCTTGGGCTTCACGGAATCAATCTCCATCCCAGATAATGCCTTATGATCCGTTTTGCCCACAAAGCCCAGGTAATTCAGACCTTTCTAGACACCAAGTCCGCCACTCAGCACAGGCACCATTCCCCCAGCTTTGTGCCATTCTGACAAACAGGCGTGTCCCCTCCCGGCTTCAGCTGGGTGCCGGCAACACCACGGAAAAGGCTGAGCCCGCAGGCAAAGCATCCTCGCAGCGAGCGTGAGGGCCTCCGGAAAGCAGCAGCCAGAGCCGGACAAGCAAAGCTCGGGCACCAGATGCTTCCGTGCTCAGGCCGAAGGCCCAGGGTAGTGGATTTCGTTTCCTGGGGGATGGGACCAGTCCGCCAACAGTAGGGGAGCTCCAAGACCCCTGACACGTCAGGCCAGGGACCCGCCTGACTCACCTTCAGTTTCTTGCAGGCCAGGGCTGCCGCCTTATTCTCAGCCTCTGCTTTGCGGCGCCCTTTGGCGACAAAGGTCATGGGACAGGGCCAGAGCAGGGTGAGGGTGGACAGCTTGGTCTTGGTGCCCACAGTATGGAACTGCATGAGGTTCTACATGGAAGGCAAGAGAAATGGCTATAGAAAGGCAGAGAATGCGGTTCTCAGAACGCCAAGGAACCCAGCGATAGAAGTAACCCCCATCTCAGCAGGTGCCAAACATCGGCCACACGAGATGGGCCACTGGGCAGCAGAGGCAAGCCCCAACAGGGCTGCAGCTCCCGAGGCTGGGCCTGGCGTCTCCAGCTGTCCCATGGTTTCACGACAAAAGACAGTGTCTGGGCAGTGCCACCACCTGCCCTCCTAGCCCACGGTGCCTCGGCACCCTCAAAGCAAACAGGTATGGTGGCAGCTGGGGGTCGAACCTGTCAGCCTGAGCCAGAACCAGGCACATTCTGGGGGTGCATGAAGGCCTTACCCCTGGGGAGAAGCTGTGCTGACCGAAGCCCTGAGCCCAGCCACAGAGATGAAATTCAACCTCAGCCAGATAGCGCCATCCCAACCCCACCCCTGCCAGCCACCCCAGACCAAACTCGGGTCTCCCGCTCCCACAGCGCCAGCCCACCCCCCGAGCTCCCACACCAACTTCCGTTCAGTCCTGGCTGCTTCACCCTCTTCACAGTCCAAGGACCCCGAGCCCCCCGAGTGGCTTAGGTGCAGGCTGAGGGTACAGGTAACCTCGGCCTTCCCACACACCTGTAGCTCCCCTCCTACCTGGTCCCGGGGACAAGCAGACACAACCAAGCCAGCTCCCCAACCACACGCACTTCTAGGAGACCCGACTCACCTTAGCTGTGGAGGACGACGTTGCTATCTGAATCACTTTGGCCAGAAGGTTCTTGGGAAGCGGAAACTGGGTCAGGGCCCTGATAGCACTGTCGTCGTCTGTCATTTCAAAGGAACCCCCCCTGGGAGGACCAAAAGTTCAGGTGAAAAAGCTCTATCTCTTCCTGGGCCCATTTCACCTCAGGCTCTGAGGCCCAGGGGGGCTAGGACACTGCAGGGGGGGCAGCAGAAGGTATGGAAAAAACAGCAGGCCTGGTGTCTTCGCGTGGCCCCTGATCTTCTCAAACACACGGCATGACTGAGGGTCCCTCAGTTCCGCCAAACAGATAACTGGGGGCAGGGGCCCAGGGGCAGGCAGAGTAGTGGCTGGGCCTTGGAGGTCACACCCAAGTGTGACCCGGAGAGAGGGTCCTGCTGTTGTTCTGCAGAAGCCCAGCCACACAGCAGAACGGCAGACGTACCGACGTGAGTAACAAGACACACAGGCAGACGTACGGCAGGAACCCTCCCATTTTAGGGAAGGCTCCCAGGGAACATCACCCATCCCCATGTCAAGGTGCAGCCAGCTTCCCTGCATCCCCCACGTCCAGCTGTACCTCGAGTCCCTGAGTGGGGTGTGGGAGTCCTGCTGGGTCATGGACAGGAAGTCGGTGACATCAATGGTCCCCTCTTCCAGCTCTTCTTCCTCATCCTCCTCTTCCTCCCGGCCCAAGGAGCGGGACAGGCCCCCAGGTCCCCCTGGCCGGATGCTCTCAGGGTTCAGCTGCCGCCAAGAAGTAGGTGGCATGGTGGGTTCTGGGCGCCACCAGCTGTCAGCCGGAGAGCCAAAGCGATCAGCTAGCACGCGGTATTTGGCTGCATCAAACAGCTCATTTCGGGGACCCAGCAGGCCCCAGCCCTGGGGGGAGAAGGAATGTTGTGAGGGGCCATCCTCACACCTCAGTCTGCCCAGAACCTGCCCCCTTACACTGTTAAGTCCCCTAGGCATGAGCCATACCTTTGCACCCATCGCCTGCCTCAGCCCCCAAGCCACAACTGGGCATCAAGAGGGCACATAAGATGTGTAGCTCTGACACATGAAAATGACAAGGTAAACTCTTACATCTATTAGACAAAAAAACGGGGGGGGGAACCCAAACCCCACAGGCAATGGAAAAGCCGATACATTCACAAAGTGATCTAGAAAGCTTCGGTGAATACAGCAGTTAGGAGAAATGGAGCTCACCCACAAAACAGTTCTATCTCTGGTCTCACCTAAGAATCCTATGCTGAGAACGTATTCTAGAAATAACCTGGGATGCTTTTAAAGCCGTTCATACAAAATATATTATTTTAAAATTATTATAGCTTCATTCTCTTCTAGACAGAACACCAAATAAAACTTGCTGAGTCTCTGGCATGCATAAAGCAATGTGCTGGCTACCCTGGGCATCATCCGGAAAGACGGGACCTGGTCCCTGCCTGCAACAAACTCCGAATCCATGGGGCAGAAGAGAAATGCAGGTGACTAGGGTCTAAGGAACCATACACTGAGAAACCAGATGAACATAAGTAACATAATTCCAATCCAAGTCTGGCTAAGCTGCTCGGGTATTTGACAAGAGCACGCTCAGTAACCCCCGTGCTGCTGGCCACGGGCACCGAGCAGGAGAGCAACGCTTAATAAACACTCTGGTTCGGAAGGGGGAAGGAAGGTGCTGCAGAGCGGTGAGTTCAGACACTGGGGAATAAAAAGGTTGCGAACTGCCATGTGAACAAAGGACTCCCATAACAACAAAAGCATCCATCCGATTTAACAGGCAAAGAACTTCAGACATTTCTCCAAAGAGACACAGATGGAATAAGCACAGGATGCAAATGCAGTCTCAAAACTTAGAGCTCTTTGGGGCGCCTGGGTGGCTCAGTCGTTAAGCATCTGCCTTCGGCTCAGGTCATGGTATCGAGCCCCGCATCAGGCTCCCTGCTCAGCAGGAACCCTGCTTCTCCCTCCCCCACTCCCCCTGCTTGTGTTCCCTCTCTCGCTGTGTCTCTCTCTGTCAAATAAATAAATAAAATCTTTAAAAAAAACAAACAAACAAAAAAACTTAGAGCTCTTTGCAGCATGGCACAAACTGATACATAGAGGCACAAATCCTCAAAATCCACTCCCACCTGATTTAGGTACATTTGGGGTAAAAAACTTTTTTTACCCCCCAAAGAACCAATTACTGTATGTGACTACGGAACTTCAATTTCCACAAATTCATCGTCGGCTTGGTTTAATGTTCTTTAGAGCTTCTGCCACATTTTCAACTCCATCAGGTCGAAAAGAAGAGTTTATGAAAGCAATCCCTTCCCCCCACACATCTCAGAAGGAAATTTCATTTGGCTCTAAAGCAGCTCCCTATGATTTGTAGCTGTGAGTTTCCCAAGGGGAAGACAACAGGACACTGAGAGAAGATGCTTCTGGGAGCTGTGAAGAGTTCACAGAACTACCTCCTTCTGACAGTCAGGGACAAGGACTGGGGATGTGAAAAGCAAACACTGTCTTCTGTTGCATTCTGTCCTTTGCAGCTACTCTATACAAGATCTACCATCAGGGTGTGATATCTTACATATTGAGAAAACACCGTGCAGTTAACACAAATTTAAGAATTTACCTCAAAAAAAAAAAAAAGAGAGAGAGAGAAAAGATGCTCAACATCAGTACCCCTTAGGGAAATGCCAATCAAAACCAAGATATCCCACCTCACACCCACGAGGACAGCTACTAAAAACCACCACCCAGAGCGCTGGTACAGATGTAGCGGGACTGTGTCCTGGTGGTAGGAATGTGAAACATTACAGCCACCGTGGAAGAAGTATGGCGATTCCTCAAAAAAGTTGAGAACAGAACTACCGTATGATCCAACAATTCCATTTCTGGGAACTGAAAGCAGTGTCCTGAAGAGAGAGCCTGTACACTCGTGTTCACAGAAGCATTGTTCACAAGAGCCAAAGGTGGAAACCACCGAAGTGCCCATCGGTGCACGAATGAACAAACACAATGCAGCACACCCGTACCACGGAGTACTCCTCAGCTTTAAGGAGGGAGATTCTGACACAAGCCATGTGAATGGACTTTGAGGACACTATGCTAAGTACAATAAGCCAGTCACAAAGAGACAAATACTGTTTGATCCACTTCTATGAGGAGATGAAATCCCTAGAGGAGGCAAATTCATAGAAACAGGCAGTAGAACGGGGGCTGCTAGGGGTTGAGGGGAAGGGGTAGGGGATTTGCTGTTTACTGTGTATGGCGTTTCAGTTTTGCAAGGTGAAAAAGTTCTGGAGACTGGTTGCACGACGCTTAATACTATGCTTAATACTACTCAACTATTTGCTGAAAAATGGTTAAGATGGTAAGTTTTATATTTTGTGTAACTTACCACAATTCAAACATACAAACAAGAGAGGCTATAAGCAGAGCAGAGATAGAGACAGAGAAAGGGCGGGGACAAACGTGACCATGACTTGCTGCACACTGGCCACCTTCAAACATGCGGAGAATCTCTCACCCTCGGCACTACTGACGGAGAAAGGGGAGAGACAAGGGGGGGGGGCGTGGGGCCCTGGCAAGGAAGAGGGCCCTCCCTCCTCAGATGCAGGGAGCAGGCAGGGACGCTGAAGGCCTGCGGATTCAGTGGGAGAGCATCTGAAGGAATACCCGCCCTACAGCTTTGTCCCCACTGGAGCAGAAATACAGACCGAGGAGTCCGAGCAAGATTCAAGGTTGGCACAGCCACAAAGGGAGCCAATCAGGGATGGACAGAAGGGCTGGTGAGCAGCACTGAAGGGCTCGTTAAATACTGGGTAACCAAGAACCTGAACGCAGCCCGTGCCCAACCACTGGGGAGTGACAGAAGCAACGCCCGTGCGTCTGTTACAAGGAACAGACAACTGTGTGAATGCAGGGAAAACCCACGTGAAATCACGGGAAAAGAAAAACCGAAACCAAAATGGAAGTGTAGCCATGGTGCCATATGAAGGACGTGTTTTTCATCAAGAGCTCCCTCTGTGTTTTCTGAAACCACAGACAGTAGATAACTACAGTTGCAAAAAACCAAACCAAACCCAAACACCCAAGTATTCCCTTGTTGGCTGCACAGCAAGAAAAGCAGCACGAGGTGGGCAGGACAGGTGAGTGAGTGAACGCCCGTCAACCTCCACCGAGAGGCACTTGGTACCAGAAAGCCCATCAGAGCCCGGGGCGAGGACCTTCCCAGGATGGAGGGTGGCCTGGCTCTCCCGCCAGGGGAGGGTCACCTTGAAGAGCTGGCAGGCCGCCGCTGCCGCCTGCCGCTCGGCGTCGATCTTCTTGCTGCCATAGCCTTCGACCTCCACGCTCTTGGGCCACTTTATGTGGAGGGTGACTTTCTGGGGAAGAGAAGAGAGAATCAGGACCCTGGCCTTCCCAGACTGCAGAGTTGCCGCAAGTCACACAGGGTTGCTGTGGGCCTGATGGCAGCAGAGCCGAGTGCAGGCAGCACCCCACGCCCACGGCTAACCCCCATGAGGCTCTAACTGTCCCATCCTCAAGCCGTTCATCCCACCTCAAGTTGTTTTGCTTCTTCAAAGTGCCATGTTCTAGCCAGAGAGCAAAGTGGGACCCATCTTTATTGTTAAAAATCTTCATTCAGAATGGTTTGCCTGCATGCTTCTGTGGGTCCCAGGACCTACGAGACTCTAGGAACAGGAATTTTTATCAACTCTGACCCTCTGCTGTCCCAGTTATTCAACAGGGACCAGAACTGGGGGTCAGTGCAGAGGCCGGTCATACCCAAGATGGGAATTCTTCACCTCATCTCCCCTGCGCTCCCTTTCTCTAAGTCAGGCTCTTTTTCAGACCTAGCTTTGCTTTGAGAGTCTCTGCTGACCATTTTCAATTCACGAAACCCACTCTACGGCTTCCCTGACAAAGAAACCTGAGGAAGAAAAGGGCAGCCAGCCTCTTTCCTGAGAGTCACACCAACATGTCTCCCAGCCACCAGTGAGTTTTACCTTTTTCTTCGGTCCATTCGTGTGCACGTAGACCAGCTTGTCTTTTGCATGTGAGATGCCGAGGGCTCTTCCAATTACACTGTTGAGAAGGTTTTTGGGCTGTGGGAACTCTTTTAATAGGTCCCTAGAAGCTAAAAAATAAGAACAAAAGCATTACAGTTGCTCTTTTTCTTTTAAAAAACTCCATGGGGTGTGTATCAGGACAACCCTGGGCTGGATACTGAGGATGTTGGCTCATGACCCCAAACCACCCAGGAGCATCTTGGTAAAGGAGGGAGGAATGGCTTCAGGGTTTACAGAGGACAGTAAACGTGCACGACCAGACCCACTTGCACAACCATTTCCTGAAGGAGAAGGACCAGTGAGCCACACACCACAGAGGAGAACCAGCCAGCATCCTCTCCCCGATAAGCTCCTGATTTAATACATCAGCTACAGAAGCCTAGGCGGCAACAAACCCCCCGTGTCTGAAAGAAGGTACTGAACAAAAAAAACAAAACAAAACTCCACCACACACACAAACTGGAGATCAAGACAATGCAAGGCCCCTCCTAAAACAAATGACACACAAAAGGGAGGGTTGGTCCCAAAGTCTCAATACCAGGCCCTAGCTCTCAATTGCACCTCGACATCCTGCAAAAGGCCTCTTAGAGCCAGATTATATGTGGGACATTGATCAGGTATCTCCACAGCTGAGACACAAGAAATAAGCTATTCCTTCCCCAAGTTCAAGTGGAATCAAGTAGAGGCAGGATGCATCAGACATCCTGAGAAGTAGCTCACTTTTTTTCACTTGTACTTTGGATCAATCCCAGAATACAAATGGGTGAGATGTCCAACTAGAGGCAGCTTGTGCCAGACACAAGGTTCAGCCAGGCCTTGAAGAAGCCTGCTCGGAGCAGCTAAAAGCAGAAGTAAGGGCCCCAAAGCACCAAAGTGGCCCTTCAAGAGATGAAGGGTCAGAGACCGGCAGAGGAAATGGGGAAACCTTTTCATTCTCCACCCACAGTCTCTGGTGTTATATTTGGCTTTAAACCAGCTCCAAAAAGAAAAACTTTGTACACGTGCCCCTGTACGCATCAGTCATAAATCACCCAAGGAATTTTTCACCACAGTGGCCACCCTGACCCCCATCAGGCACTTAAGAATGGCGGTGATGTTGGGGAAGCCTCTGTATTTTGATGAAGCTACCCACAGGAGTTCTGATGTAACCCGAATCCTGGGTTGAGACTGTTTCCCTGGAGCAGATGACTGTGTCAACTGGCCAAGAAGGAGGATTCTGCCTGACTCTGTCTCCCTCTAAAGAACTTACAAAGCAAGAGATTCAAGCAGTTAAGACTGGTATTTAAGTAGACTCAGACGGCTTACCACAGAGGGACCCAAAGTTAAGGAGCCCACTATACCCCCAGGCACAACAGATGTGCACTGGTCCCCCCGCTCCAGCTCTACAGGACAGGAGGAGGTTGGCTCTCTATCCATGGTTGACAGGCAGGGATGCTCTCACCAGTCTCATTCCCTGCGCTATTCAGGAGACACCACGTTGGGAATCACTCTGTCTCCACCTCAAATCCTGAAGTACCAAGTGTAGTTTGGGCTCTTTTCCCACACTGGTGAGGGTGTGCTTACCCTTGATGCTCTAACCCTTAACCACCCATTCGGGCAGCAGGTGGATGTTTTCCTGTTTTCCCCCACGCCCTCGAGGTCCCGTGCCTCTCACCTATTCTTGCCTGGTGCAGGCGCTCCGGTCCCCGAACCTCCGCGCCCGGGGTCCATTTGGGCCTGTGCCACACCGAGCTTTACAACAGCAGCGCTGCGGCCCGCCAGCGGCCGGCGGTCTCGGCCACTAGCGGAGAGGGGCCCCGGCCCGCCAGGCCCGACCCAGGCCCGCGCCCCCAGCTCTGCCAGCCCCGGCAGCCAAGGACGTCGCGGCCTGGCCGCCCCGACCCTCACCGTTCACCATGCTTCCGTCGCCTTCCCCGGGGCCGCTAGGGGCTACCCCTGCCTCGGCCTCGGCGGCCTCCTGTGTGCGATCGGGGTGGGCGCAGCCTGACGAGAGGCCGCGCGAGCGTCCCTGTCGCCCAGTGGCGCGGGGGCCCAGCGGTCGCAGGCGTGGAGAGACGCCGGCAGCCAGGGCCATGAGCCTCCTGGCGGCCGCCATGGCGCTCCCGCCGACACCCGCGGGCCCGGAGCCGAGAAGGGCAGGGCGGAAGGGCGGGAGGGCGGGAGCAGCGGCCCGCGCGCCCCCTGGCGGCCGGGAGGACCGGGGACGGGGGCCAGCCGACGTGGTCCCAGCGCTCGGGTTCTTCAGCAGGGGCCTCCCGCGTCCTGGGCTTGTCACCTGGTGGGCAGCCTGGGACGGCTGGCACCCAGCTGAATTCACTGCCCCGGCAAAGCCAAACCCACAGACCCGTCGTCTGAATCGGGGGCAAGAAGACGGAAGGGGACTTTTGGGAAAAGTTCAGGCCTTAGCTCAATCAACGTCCATCCAAGGAGGTGAACTCCAGGTTCCCTCTAGGTCCCACCCGTTGCTCATAAATACCTCTCACATGCGCTGGCAAATTGGCTTGCACTCCAGACCGAAGAGGGAGGATAACCACTAAACCGGGGCACCCCCATCTCATTTCATGGCTTACAAAGTAAACCTGATGAAGAATCCGGATCCAGGACAGGCAAGACCTCCTGAACATAAGCAGACCACTTTTAATTCCAGGGCTGGAGTCAAAAGTGAAAAATACCAGACTTGGATAACGTGCCCGAGAACTGAGCTGGTCCAGCAGTGTGAATCTGAAGCTGCTACTCCTTACTTGTTTGAAAGCCAAATGGGATTCTATTTCCAAACTACTATGCCTGGGTTCTAGCCAGGCTCGTTCCCCTTCTGCCTCGTATGGCACCGAGGAACAGAAATTTGGCTCGGCTGGGTTTAACAGAGTCTGCATGTTGGGGCACTGACAGCAAGGGGCTTGGTAAGAGGTTGGCAGTGCAGCTGGGGATACACTGGGAGGGAGGGTTTTGTTTGTGTGTTTTATAATTCTAGATCTGACTCTGAAAACTCCTGGAGAGCTTGTGAAAACATTACTGGGAGCCACCCCCAAGTTTCTTACTCATTAGGTCTGGAGTGCAGCCCAGGAATCTGCATTTTTAACAAGTTCCCAGATGATAATGAGACTGCTGGTCTGGGACCTCACTCAGAACTGCTGGCCTATGGCAAGAACATAGGATATGAGTCCTAATACTTGGGCTTAGTCCAAGCTCTGTCACTTGCCAGCTGTGAACCTTGGGCAGTTTCATCAGTTGGGAAAATGAGGACATACTTGATCTACTCATTTGGTACAACTGTGGTCAGGATAAATGGGAATGTCTGGAAGGCTGCTCTGCAGTGTGCTCTGTTAGAGAAGCCCCTCCACTGAGGTCTGAGACAACAGACCCGGGGCAGGATGCGGCAGCTTCAACTCCCACTCCTCTATTCCCTCCTCAGTGGGCTTTTCGCAGGAAAGGGGCAAAAGGGAAGGTGACCTTGGCAACAGTGATCTGACCTTCCAAGGGGACACCACCATCTGTATCAAACACCCTTATCCAGATCATCCACCTTGGGATGGTGAGACCCTTGGGTATAATGTGATTCCACAATGGCTTTGACTTTGGCCAAGTGTCACTCTAATTGGCCAAAAGCCAAAGCATCCACCCAGCTTCAGGGTAGTTTTCAAGGACTGTTAGCAGCCCAAATTCCCTCAAAAGAATCTAGAAGCTTACCAAGCCTGATAATGGCATTAGGGGCTGAGGCCAAATATTGAAAACGGTGGTGTCTGAAAGCTGAAGGAGACAAAAGCCTAGACAGAAAGCCCCTCCACCCCCTCACCCCCCCAGAAAGCAGGGCCTGGGCCCATCATGGCGCTGCAGCAAGTCCTCAGTATAGCACTCTGTTTGACAGCCACTTAGTCAGGCTAAGGTCGGAATGCTCTGATTTTTTGGATCTGCTCCCAAAGGGGCCAAAGTAGAGGGACAGACACAAATCATGACTGGCCATGAGTTGTTAACTGGTCAAGCAGGGTGATAAGTACTTGGGGGTTCACCATATTATTTTCTCTATTTTATTAAGTGTATTTCGAACAGATGTTTGAAATTTTATGTTTAAAAAAAAGCATCATGTGATGCCAACCAACTAGTTGGTTCTCAGGGAGCTCCTTGACCCCTTTTCCTATTTCATTTACTGCATTTGGGCTCTAACAGTTGGTATCACCTTGAGCAAATATTTCACTTCCACAAACCTCACTGCCTCTTATAAAGTGAGGGCAACTCTTACACTGGGTCTTAAAAACCTTCTGGTTTTGTGATCTTCTCCCCATTGGTCCAGAGCAGGGGTTGCCAAACTACAGCCTGCAGACCAAATCCACCCACTACCAGTTTTTATAAATAAAGTTTTATTGGAACATAGCTCTGCTCATTGTTTGTGTATTATCTATCGTTGCTTTCACACTGCAATGGCACAGTGAAGGAGCTGCAAAAGAAACCAGATGGCCCAGAAAGCCTAGACTATGTATTTTGTGACCCTTAAAGGAAGTTTGCCGACTCCTGCCTTAGAGAATTTTGAAGAAAGTTAGAAGGGCTCAGGTACGCCCTCTTCCTTTCCACCAATATTAAAGACTTCTCCACTCTCCATTCTTTGGGGAGAGAAAGTTGACTCCTTTGCCTGTGAAAAGGAAGAAACTTTTGGAAAAAAAAAAAAAAGAAATGTTTTACTGGCTCAGAGATCTCTCCATTCATTTCTCAAATCAAGCACGACATCTGGTAGTAAATGTGCTAAACAACAACATCAGGGAGTGTGGAATTAAAGTGTATAGGATCTGCTGAATACACAAGAGGATGTTTTAGGACCCTAAACTTTAGAGGCCCCAGGAGAAAGCAACAAGAGGAAGCCCAAGGTAGTCCAGACTTGGGGCAGACTGGAGAATTTCTGGGGGTGGGGGTAGTGAGAGGGAGCATCTCAGTCGACATTCTGTCAGCGTCTTCAACCACAGTTAGATTTTGTGGATGCTCAAAACGGCAAGACATGGTCCCCTTGGCTGGCAACGAGAAAGGCAAAGGGATCTGCAGGAGTCAGGTGACCACCCTGACCGCTCTACGCATCCTCAGGGCTTTTCCATCCACATCCATAAAGCCACAGGGTCCCTTGAGGTAAACCACCGCACCAAGAAGAGGGGACACATGTGCATGAGGGAATGGACAGGAAAGACTAGTCCTAGGAAGGATCCTGCCAGAAGGGCTGTTATTCCACGTTGCTTTCCGGGGCTCTAGGTCTCGGATCAGGGTGGGTGGGAAAGATTGACGGAAGAGGCTCTGAGTGTCCTCACCCTTTACCAAGGCGGCCTTGGTAGGAGGCTGGCGGTAGAGTGGGGGAGACTGGCAAAGGAGGTGGGAGTTTGTTCCAATTCCAAATCTGACTCTGGTAGGCACTGTAACCTATTCAAGTGGCCACCATTTTGTGAGCGCTGTCTTCCTATCTGAACACCAGAGAGACTGTTTCTGCCACACACACTTCCTTCTAAAGGCAGAGGCACCAGTGAAGTCACTAGGGAATCAGAAAGCATGGCAGAAAGGCCCAACAGTCATGTGTGGACTAAAAGGTCTGTTGCTTCTGGGATGAAGAAATGGAGGCAAGAACCCTTTTTAGGTTGAGAGAGAGAGGAGGCAAAGATGCATACACCCATGGATGCCTCCTGGAGGCACAGCTGTGAGGAGACAATCAGGCTCGGGGGGGGGGGGTCTGGGCTCCTCCAGGGAAGACAGTGCAGGGACTGTCCCCCACCAGGAGCAGCTGCCCTGCCAAGTGCAGCAGCCTTCTCCCCTGCATGTGCTCAAGGAGGCACTGCCTAGCCGTGCTGCCTGGTTCATCCCACCTAACCATCTTTAAGCTTAGCCAAAGCACATCTGACACTCTCAGAGCCACTCACCTGCCATGTTGGAAATGTTAACGTTCAGCCTTTTCGAGTTACAGGGCATTTTAAGAAAGAAAAAAAAAAGGGCAATCAACTCTTGTTTTGGCAACGGTAGGGGGGTGGCATTTCTTTAACACCTAAGTCAAATGGTCAGAGGGGCTGGAAGTATTTCTTTCCATGCTGCTGTCTGGAGTCGGGGCCACTGCAGCAGGAGGGCATTGCGTGTGGACACGGCATGGGAACAGGGCAGCAGCGTGGGCTGCAGAAACTGAGGTGCTCTGTGCTCCCCGACCCTTCCTGAACTCTTGACCTTCAAAGCACTTTACAGACAGGACCTAAAGTGGACATGCTGTCTCCACATGAGGTAAAGACTCTATGACCTAATATAGTGTTCTTCCACTAGGCAACTGGCGTCGGGGTGTGAACAGCCAGCCAACGGGGCAAGAGGGGCGGCCGTCGGAGGACAAACAAGAAGCCACCAGGAGCACTGGTCTTAGCAGACCTGGAAAAGATCTAAGTCTGAGGGAGGAGCGGAGACACTCACAGGCAGCGATGCTTCCCTGGGTCCCATTACTGGCCCCATCCTTGGGTACCAGTGGAACCTGAGGGGAGCGATCACCTGTCCAGGTGCTCTGACATCCTCCCCAATCAAAAGGAGAGCCTACCCTGCCAAATGGACTGAGAGACAGATTTTAATGTCAGTAAAGTGCTTTGAGGAGCTGGGCGGGGGGGCGGAGAGGTGAGGAGGGGCTCTGCCAGGCATCCCCAGAGCCTCCAAGGTGGAGGACACAGGGCCTGGCAAGGGCTCTCCGTTCTGGCCCTGCTACAGGCGCCCTGTGCTTCCTGAACCGCCTGAGCCAGGGACCGCCTAGAAGATCCAAGCCCTGCAGATTCTCCACACTGGTGCTGAACACCCAGACTGAGCCTAGGCTGTATGCCTGGTCACACGAGGAAGCCCAAGGAGACCACAGGGTCTAAGCCAGGGGGCCAAGGATCATAAAATAACCCAGACCTTTCCAAATGATCTCTCCCTGAGGGTTACCACAGCTCCGCCAGCCCCACTCCTCCTCTCTTGCTTTCCAGAGGACCGGGACCCTGATACCCGGGCTCCCACTACCACCCACCTCCCCACAGACCCTGCACCAAGCTGATGCTGGAGGCAAGGCTCCTCCCTTACCTCGAGAGATGGTCCCTCCAGGGGCAGGGTTGACACACATGGGTGGAAGGCGGGGTGGGGGAAGTTTGCACTGACGCTGCCTGTGCTGGGCCCGATCTGGGGAAAGAGAGAGGGCATCAAGGTGGCATGTTCTCATGCCTCACAGTTACAGACCCCTGGCCTGACTCACCCCAGAGCGTCTGGGAGGAGCTCTGGGCAGCACGGCTGCCGGATTGTATGTGCAGCCAGTCACAAGCTCTGAGAAACAGTCCCACAAATCCCACACAGAAAGAAGGCAATTGTCTTACTTAGATGGGATATGCAACAAATTTGTAGAGATCCCTTCCAGACTCTCAAAACAGCCCTCAAACTATCCCTGTTCCCTGAGCCACCTTGGGGAAGTCAAACACCCATCCCACTACCTTCTCTATAGTCATGAGTAGTGAGGATCAAACAAGAAAACAGTTGAAAACTGGAAAACCATGGTACCACGTAAATCCCCTTGTCTGTCTTCTGCTTATGGTAGCTATCCCTGTGTCTGCTGTTGGTTCCCAGATGGCCATTTAGCGACCAGATCTCAAATTATTCTGTCCCGCTAAGAAATGGGCAAGAAAAGGAACAACTGACTGTTTGGGTCCTCCTTAAGCCAAGACCAGCCTTCTCTCTCTTTATAAAAGTCAATGGTTTGCCATTCCAAATACTTCCATTCATTTGGAGACTAAATACTACTTATCAGTGAGCTATAAAGTATGTTTTTAAGAAGTTCCAAAACTTTGATATGCCTGAACATCACTTTTGCACGGGAAGGTGGGACTGTACAAGGAAGTAAGGTTTCCCATGTTGAACACCACCTACGTGGTGAAGACATCACCAAATCACTGGGTCTGGGGGGAAAGGTACATGAGCTCTCTGCTCTCTTTGCCCTACTGGTTTCAATATGATAAATGAGGCAGGAGAGGAACAGGGAGACACACACACACACACACACACACACACACACGACATACTTGAGCAACATTCTGTTCTGCTACCATCATGTCCATTTCCATAATGCAAACTGGCTCATATGTAATTGGTACATGAGGAAATGGTATCAGTAAAACATGAGAACCCTCAGGTCAAATGTGATTTTTCTAAAGCAAGGGAACTGAAACAGCTAAGGCAGAATTATAATTTTCAACGAGAAAATAAAAGACCCTTTTATATATACGTATATGTACATATATACAATGTGCAGTCCCTGCAGCGAGGTCCTCCTCCCCCACACTACCAGCTGCACGCGCACCTTCTTGGCAGCCCCACGAGCTCAGAGCCCCCCTGCCCCCCGCGCGGCCTCGGCACTGCCAGCTCTGTGCCCGCGGGAACACGTCCTGCACGTTTCTAGCACTGCACCGCGCCACCAGCCTCGGCTGTCCACAGCGTCCTCCCAGGCCCCAGCGACTGCCGTCAGCACACTCGGGCCGTCTAGCTGTGCTAAACTGCCTCAGCCCTGTCTCTCCCACGAGCCCTCTTATGATATGAGAGGTGTGTGATTCTGCAGAAAACACATCCAGTGTTACAGCAGAAATGCCTGCAGGGTCTTCTGGAACAAAGTGCCTAGGACCAAGGTTTATCCTGAAACTAAGGTGGAAAATGACCAACTCAACCTCGCCAGTCCTGTTTGAGAAGGGCTCTCGTTCATAACTAGGGATGCTGGATTGAAAAAAAAAGAAATACATGATTTGGGGCGCCTGGGTGGCTCAGTCATTAAGCATCTGCCTTCGGCTCAGGTCATGATCCCAGGGTCCTGGGATCGAGCCCTGCATCGGTCTCCCTGCTCGGCGGGAAGCCTGCTTCTCCCTCTCCCACTCCCCCTGCTTGTGTTGCCTCTCTCGCTGTGTCTCTCCCTGCCAAATAAATAAATAAATAAATAAATAAATAAATAAATTTTTTAAAAAAAGAAAGAAATGATTTGATGATTATCTGTTTCCTTAAGCATTTTCAGTAACTAGGAGGGGGAGAAGTGAGCCCTCTTCTGACCATGGAGCTGGAGGAAAATGGCACATTCTTGCTGTTGATCTAGTGTTTTTCCAAGTTTTGTGCTGACTGTAGAAGACTCAGCTTGCTCTCTGTGGCCTGATCCTGATGGCATTACCTCCGAGAGACAAGAAACTTGTGTTAAGAAGCCAGCAAAGGCAGTGACAGGCCACTTACCAGGCACACGAGCGTGCTAGTTGGGCAGTGCTGGCAGATCCGCTGAATTACGTAAGAGGAAAGATGGCAGCCGCAGACCCAGCAGGCCACTGTCCACAAAGCTGCAGGGAACTGCTCTAGCTCGTACCTTCAGAAGCATCCAGTGGCCCGCCCCACTGAGACTCTAAGCGCCGGAGTGCAAGAAAGCATCTCTGACACAGAGCTGTCTCCACCCTAGTGTCTCCCACACAGGTGCTCACCCATGCGGCCGCCCAGCACGCCGCATGCTAAGGCCAGGCTGTCACTCTCTGGCAAAACACCAGCTGCAGGGCTGCACCCCAGAGAGATCCATCTACTCACATTTAGCAAAGGCCTGCCAATCCAAGACTAAGGGCCGGAGACAGACCACAGCCAAGTGCTTTTCCTATATCATCTCTAATCTTCATTATACCTCTGAATATAGGGGCTGGGAAACGGGATCAGGTAAGTTAATACCTTGTTAGTGTTAATGGGGACCAGATATGAACCCCAGAGAGTCTGACTCAAGCTTGACACCATGTGACATTTCCCCTCAGGATTCATGACACCTAGGGAGCTCATAATCTCATCATGAGGAGCAAAAAAACATAAAAACTAGGTAAGAGATAAAGAAGAGTTCTATATGACAATAAAAATGTCACAAGGCCACACATGACCAATTGCTGAGGTCATGGTGCAAACCACAAGTGATACTAGCATTCAGAAGACAGGAAAGGGCATTCAGCCTTATAGTCAGAAAAGAAAAGGTAGGTTTGCTTGAAGGAAAGTATTCAAGGCAGTAAATTCTTTCTGATTAGCAGTTTTTCCTGAGACTTTCAAGCATAAAATGGTTGTTGGTAAGAATATAACACTTACCTGTGTGGAAAGCAAGGCCCCAAATCAGACTATGTCCGATTATTATGTCCTGAAGCTACTTAATACCACAGACTGTGATTTTACCAGGTGTCAGGCCCTGTTCTAAGCTCTTTATATGTATTAACTCATCTGATCCTTAGAACAACCCTGTGAGGCAGGTACTAAGATCCGGCCTACTTACATCATGAGGAAATGAAGGCACAGAGGCCCAATCACCTGCCTCCAGCCTTGACCAGCAAGGGTGCAGAAGTGTGATGTGAACCAGGCATCTGGCTTCAGAATTTTTGCACAGTGAGGCTATGTTGACTCCCATGAAACTGAATGCTAACAACGTCACCCCTGATGAAAAGCCTCTCGAACAAATCAATCCCCAGCCTAGAAAGAAAATCACAAATGCTCTAAAGGAATTTTGCCACAACTCTCTCCCCTGGTACCATCTCCCTATCACGTAGAAGTGAAATAACACAGAAAAAAGGAGGATTATGATTTTTACTGGGCTCTCCAACTCTTTACAAAATCAGTGCTGTTCATTCAGACACTCCCACCATGAGAGAACCTATTTTCATCCAACTTTCACAAGTGGGTGGACAACAAAGCCCACTGATTAATAAGTAAACACAAAGTGTACTTAATTTTCAGCTCAAAATATGCTGTTTGCACTAATCTCAAACCTAATATTTCCAGTCAGTTAACCAATGAAGCCAGGACGATAGAGATTAATTTTTTCACGCATTATGGAAACAGTCGGAGTGGCTAAACACAAACAAGGAGGGGGCTCCTGAGTGGCTCAGTCAGTTAAACGTCTGCCTTCAGCTCAGGTCACGATCACAGGGTCCTGGGATCAAGCCCCATGTGGCTCCCTGCTCAGCGGGGAGCCTGCTTCTCCCTCTCCCTCTGCTGCTCTCCCCTGCTTCTGCTCTCTCCTGTCAAATAAATAAAATATTTAAAAAACAAACAAATAAGGAGGCAGGAAGAGGCTGTTCTGAATGCCCTGATACATCCAGCCCTCTTTCTGACCCCATTCAACAGGACGCCACTCAGCCAAGGTTTTCCAGGCCTCTGGGAACATAAGTGGGAGAGGAGACACCATGCGGAGGAAGACCTTTTTTTTTTTGGTAGGCTCCACACCCAGTGGGGAACCCAACATGGGGCTCAAACTCACCACCCTGAGGTCAGGAGTCACATGCTCTGACTGAGCCAGCCCAAGGCCCCCACGGGAGGACCTTTTACATCAGCGGTTATGGAAGGTCTATTATGGTTCTCACTGATTTGTAAAATATGCTCAGAAAGGAGTCTCACAGTCAGCATCAACAGAGGTAACAGGCCTGTTACTCACTGGTCCGTTAGAGGAGGAAAGTCATGCTCCTAAGATACGCAAAGCCCTCTGGAATGTGGTCCTTGAAGGCTTCCCCAGCTATAGCACTTCATGTAAGCAGGAATGAATGCTACCCTACAGCCTAGCCATGGCTCAGTTCTGCCATTGCTCACACAATCCTCTGACCCCAGCTGCCGGAGAGCACGGGTTCCAAAACTTGCCACAGTTTCTATGACCACTAATATAGCAATGACTCAATCCACTTTCCCCAGCGTTTGCTGAGGCCTACCCCGTGCAGAAGGCTGTGCCAGGTGCCACAGATGATAAAGAAGCATGACAGGCCCTGGCTGCAGGGAGCTTCTAGTCTAGAGATATGACGATTAGTTCAGAACAGACTAAGTGCAGGAAAGTACAGGCACGGTGCTGAGGAAAATCAGAGGAGAGAGACTGCCCTTGGCTGATAGAATCAGGAATGGTTCATGGAGGAAATGGTGTAAAACACTGACTTAGAAAAACAGATGGGAATCCAATGAGCAGTGAGTACATGTGAGAGGATATTCAGGGGGAGGGGCAGCAAAGGAACAGAGGGACTCCGTCAAGGAGTCAGCCCCAGGTCATAAGCACCGTGCAAGGGGAAGGCAGAGAAAGGACTCTGGCAAGTCATGCAAAGAAGGGGTCTGAGGGTTCCACACTGGTAAGGGATCTCCGCAGCCCTCACAGCTGTCCATCACACGGAGGGAGAGCCTGAGGTCACAAGCACAGCTCTGTTTTTACCTTTTCTGAATGAGTCCAGGCTGAACATTTCTGGCCAGGAGGGAAAGCTGGAATCCTAAAAAGGAGGGTCGAGAGGCAATGGTTACTATTCTTGGTCCAGGATCCCACAGAGAAGACTTCAATAACACAGACAGCGCTGTCCAGAAGGTGAGAAAAATGAAGCTTTTCACTAATGAGCCCCAACTGCTGCTCCAAGTCTTAAGGATGGAAGGGCCATCTATGGCTTTATTACATGGCTTTGTTTCTTTCTCATTGAGAGCTTTCTTCTTTTTTCTGTCCTAAACTCCCTGAACCCTGCTCAACAGAGCGAAATGCATTTCATTGGAGAGACATATTTCCACCTCATCACAATACTTGCAATTTTCCTGGGACTTCTGGGAAGAAAGGAAATTCTAAATGGACCCCTTTCCTCATGTGGCAGCAGCGAGCGGGACTGATGACTACCCTATGGACAAACTAGTTTACGGGGCTTTCACAAAACCCAGTCAAGCCCCTAGGGATGGGACTTGACAGCAGTATCAAAGAGTAACTGTATTGTAATTCAAAATAAAAAGCTCCTCATGGCGGAGTCTATTAAATAACAAATATTAAGTTAAAGTTCAACCGTTGCACAAAAGTTTTGGTACATTTTGTTCATTTAACTGAGGAGTACACCTAGAACCTCAAAACATACACACACACACACACACAGAGAGAGATAAGTAACACCTCTGGCTTAATGATTTTGTTAAAAAAAAAAACACTCAAACTCACTTATAGATGTTTTTAAGAATATAGTAGGTACTCCTAGGTTGGTGCAGTAACCTTATGTGGCCTCAGTTTAAAAACATCTACACACTGTGGGGTGCCTGAGTGGCTCTGTCGGTTAAGCATCTGCCTTCGGCTCAGGTCATGATCTCAGGGTCCTGGGATCAAGCCCCATGTCGGGCTCCCTGCTCAGTGGGGAATCTGCTCCTCCCTTTCCTTCTGCCCCCTCCTCCTGCTCATGCTCTCTCTCAAATACATAAATGAAATCTTTATAAAAAATTAAAAAACAAAAACATCTACACAATGCTTTAGCAAACCAGGATAATGTCCAATATTACAAGGAGTCTAATAGGGCCTATACTCCTGCTCCTGACTGCTTTTCCGTCTAATTCTCAAATGGCGAGGAGATGGGGGTGAAGGGATGACCTGGGGCCGAATCTTTCAGGTCCATAGCAGGTCTGCTCTGATTGCCTCCTCTCCCCCAGGGATGCCAGGAATTTCAGCCAACAGGATATGGCAGTTCAGAGAGAAAACTTCAATATCCACGATACAATTCACTTTAAGAAGTTACATTCTATAGACTCTTTCCAAATTAAAAAAAAAAAAGGGTATAATTTGAGATTCTAATCTTAAAGAAAAACCTGAATACTATAAAATCTAAACCATCTACGTGATTATTATTTGAGACAATACTTTCTTGCTAAGAAAGAGTAAATTAATTTGCTTGTAAACAGACTGCTCTGCTTTTAAAAAGTCCCCGACCCAAGGGGCGCCTGGGTGGCTCAGTTGGTTGAGCGACTGCCTTCGGCTCAGGTCATGATCCTGGAGTCCCGGGATCGAGTCCCACATCGGGCTCCCTGCTCAGCGCGGAGTCTGCTTCTCCCTCTGACCCTCTTCCCTCTCGTGCTCTCTATCTCTCTCATTCTCTCTCTCTCAAATAAATAAATAAAATCTTTAAAAAAAAAAAAAAAAAGTCCCCGACCCTCTCCAAGGCTCACACAACACTATCTTTTCCTGTATCAGTCTAAAAGATATGTACGATATTCAAGATGGGATGTTTTAGAGGCATTTCACTGAGCTCTAGAACATTTCATAGAGATTGAAAAGAAAGCTGAGTTCCTTGAAATATAATTATGTTGGAAACTTTTATGATTCTGCGTTTCTCTTAAATAATTCAAAGATAAGTAAAATAATATGCTGTCAAGAGTTCTTGCATAATGAAACACCACTTAAGTCCAGGTAGAGTCACTATGGGATGAGTCAAGGACAGAGAGATTCCATAATGACTAATTAAAAATGATACCCTTCTTCCAAGACAGCCACAAATGCATTTAATACATGCCTTTGCTCTACAGCGCGGCGAAGCATGAGGTCCGCCACTGTTCCGTGTGCGCGGCTAAGTCAACTTACCTTACACGAGCAGTGACGGTCTCAGATTGCGTAGGCTTTTGAACTGGAGCTGAATTCTCTCCCTGCTATTCCTCATCACGAGGCTGGGCCTCCTCCTAGAAAACAGAAGGCTGGGTCACTACAGTGATGGGCCCCACAGGGAAAAGAAAGTTGCCGCAAACCACTGAAATCCATTTACTAACTCTAACAACAAGGACAAGTTTTGTCAATGGCATGAAGCACACACTGGACACACTGGCCTCACTTCAGGACCCGCCCTGACAGTCTCACGACTCATCAGATTGTGAGCTGCCCTACACCGACACCTGTGAGATACCAAGAAAGAGATATGGTAAAGAGGGGCTTGTAGTCCTGAAAGCATTTTCTCCAAGCCCAGAGCAAAACCTGCTTCAGTTCTGAGTTCTAATCCCATCATGGCTCTAATATGACCCTACCTAAGGTAGATAAACAAGCTCTTCCAGATTAGGAAAGTAACTAAATGTTGAAGGCCATTTTTATAGTTCACAAAGTACTTCCATAGACTTTGTAGCACTTAATCTATGCAACTAACCAGGGAGGTTGAAATTATCTTTCCCAGAGAAGGAAATTGAGGCAGATTTTCCCAGAGAAAGTTACACAACTTGTCCAAGACCCCATAGCTGACTCAGGACAGAATGGAAGTCTGCAGTTAGGTACTGGATTCCAAAGCTTTCCATGCTTATACTACACTATTTTTCTTATTTCCATGATACTATGCTGTTGCCTAGATGTCCCATGGTTCATTCCTGGAAATAATATTTTATAGTGATACAAAGGCTGAAAGGGGCAAGATGGGTCCAACTGATAAACTTTGGACCATGGCTACATAAGTTAAAACACTTGGAGAATAAATATCTTTTAGAGGTAAAAGGACAACCTACACAGGTAAAAAAAAAAAAAAAAAAAATGCAGCAAAGGATGTATTTCCCGCATCTTAAACAGCTCTACAAATAAAGAGCACTATCATGAACTCCATCAGGAAAAGAGGCCTCCCTCCTGGAAACTCCAACACTCCAAGATTTAAGTGTAAATTGTGAGATATAGTCAAGACCCACAATGACAGGGGTTTTGTTGCTTTCAAAGAAACTGCAAGGGAAACCATCAGACAATGTCTCCTTTCCCTCTGGCCAGTAAGTTGCAACCAAAAACAGTTTGAGAGTGCACCTGGCCATCTGCAGTCACCTGCTACAGTGTATGGCAAGCCCCTGTGTATTGGGGTTGCAAAGTGGGACAATCTCTGTCTTGCAACATCACAATTAAGGTGATCAATGTTGCTACACGAGGACTAGCCAGACAGCATGCTGACGCCATACTCCGGGCTTGGGGGTTCTGAGGACCCCTGGGACTCCAGTTCACTGCAAACAAAGGACCCAACATGCATTAGGTCTTCCCCTGCGAAATGGGGCAAGTCACCACCAGCAAACAAAGAACACCTCACCCCTTGGCCTCCCCCAGTGACAAGGTCGGTGCAAAAAGGGGCAAACCAGGGGGGCCAGAATGCACCAGGCCTCCCTTTGGACGAACGGTCCAGGCGGCACGGGGGACAGACAAAGGTCCCGGGGCACTCCGGGGGCTTCCTCCAGGCCCTGCCTCGGGGAACGGAGCATCCCCTGAGGCGGAGGCGTCGTTGCGCCAATGAAGCGGCCTCTCCCGCGGTCCCCGCGGAGCCCCTGGCTACCAGGCCCGCCCCGGCGGACCGGCCTGGCCCCCGCCCCCGCCCAGGCTCCATGGCAACGGCAGGCCGAGGCCTGGCTGCCCACGGCTCGGCCGGGCCGGCTTCGCGGGCAGGCCTAGGATGCCCGGCCTGCTCCTCGGGCCCGCCCGCTTCTCCGCCCCACTCTCCGCCAAGCCGGCGGTCGGACCCGGGCCCCTCCTCGCGCCGACCACCCCTGGCCGCGGCAAGCTCCTCAAGAGGACACGAAAGGGGAGAATAAAAAGCCCAATTCACCTGTTGTTACAGATGTGAAACAAGCCTCGGTGCACCGCGCATGAGCCGCGGGCCCCCCCAACCACGGCCGGACTACAACTCCCACCAGCGGCGGCGCGGCCCCTTCCGGGTCCCGTGGCGGAAGTCCCGCCGGCCGCCCCGGCGCTCCCCGCCCCGCCTCCCGCGCCAACCCCGCGTCTGAGCGGGTCTCCAGCGGGTCCCCCACACGGGGCTCGCAGTGGCCTCCCAGGGCTCACGCCGCTTGGCGGCCAACCCGCGGCGAGACCCCGGCGCTGGGCCCAATGGGGGGGCGGCCGCGGCGGGCGCAGGCGGGACTTCCGGCAGAGCGGCCGAGGGGGTGGGCGCGCGGGCTGCTGTGGGGCCGCGGAGGGAGCGGGGCTGGGCTGCCGCGGCCGGCGCCTCACACCGTGCCCCCTCGCAGCGCCTCAGCATGCAGCGGTGTGGGAGCGGGAGGGCCCTCGCGTCCTCTGCGCCCCCGCCCCGCGGCCCCCGGCCAGTCAGGGCTGAGCCGGGAACGAAATCCTGCTCGGGCTCCGGACGCTGCACCCGCCTTCCTCGCCACAGCCCGTTGCCACGCCTCTTCTCCTCTTCATCTCTCCTCCGATCTTCTGTTTCTTTAGGGAGGTGAGAATTTCTGCCTCACGACGTTGTTAGGAGGAGGCCAGCGCGATGGCACGTTGTAAACTGTACAACGCTGGGGAAAGGACAAGGTGGCACTTGCTGATCCGAGTGCCGCTGGGCGGCTCTGGAGGTCTCGCCCCCGCCCCCTGGCCTCCGAAGTGAGCAAGGGGCATTGTCCCTGTCACATGCTGCGGTCCTCTAGATGAGGCCCCTGTGGGAGTTCGGTGGCGTCCAACTTCAAAAGGAGAGAACTCAGATGGGATTGCTCTGAGGCTAGGTCAAGATTTTGCAGCTGGAACGACCTAGAATACGCTTTTAAGACGTGGCCTTTTAAGGATATACGAAGAATTTTTCCATATCCCGTCGTTTTTGTCCAAGCAATTAAATGCAACAAGTGTTTTTTTTTTTTCTCTCTCTCTACATCGGACAGAAGGGTGGGGGAGGTGAGCGTGGAGCATCATCCACTCATTCAAATAATTATTACCTTTTCTGAGCAGGACATGGTGCCGGGCTATGGTGTGTGGGAAATGATCCCTGTACAGATATTTGAGTGAACTGTGTAGCAATTGATAGAAGCATGTTTTGGGGGTACAACAACCTGCCCTCGAGGGGCTTAGGGCCTGGTAGACAAGATGAAAACATTATGTGAGGCAAAAAGAAAGTGATAAATGCTGGGGAGGAGATACCAAGTGTTAGAGGGTTGAGAGAAAGGAAAATCAAGGAGAAGGAACCACAGAAGCAAAGACACCAGTGGAACAAAAGGCAACTTCTAAGAATATGCAGTAGCGGGCGCCTGGGTGGCTCAGTTGGTTAAGCGACTGTCTTCGGCTCAGTTCATGATCCTGGAGTCCCGGGATCGAGTCCCGCATCGTGCTCCCCGCTCAGTGGGGAGTCTGCTTCTCTCTCGTGCTCTCTATCTCTTATTCTCTCTCTCTCAAATAAATAAATAAAATCTTAAAAAAATATATATATATGCAGTAGCTTGGTGTGACCAGAGGGTTGGATATGTGTACCAGCTTTAGAGGCAATGAACAGAAAAGTATGGCGGGGCACGCGATATGCTGAGGGATGTTAACTATATTTGTACACAATTATCTTTCTAAGATACTGTTTTTACAGTTCTAAGTAGTAAAGAACCATTGGATTTCAGGAAGGTTATTCTAAAAGTGTGAGGGTAAAATAGAAGTGAGGGTACTAATGAGATGAGGAGGTACCGAGGGATTCAGCTGTGCTCAGGAGTGAAAAAGGCAAGAAAGAGGTATGACGGTGATGGTAAAGCGCCAAGCTGACCCCTGGCCACAGGTGCGTGGAAAGGTGACTGAGATCTGTGCCGGGGGACTGGAAGGATTGAGCACCGTTACCATAATGAAGGGACAGGGCAGTCGGAGATGATGGATTCCGCTTCATACAGATTATGTTTGAAATGCTATTGGGAATGTTAAGTGATGGACATGTCCCTACTGCAAAAGATGTCCTGACAGAATGAGAAAAGCAGGTAAACAAGTCTTAAGAAGACCTAGGGGAAACCCTGCAAAAGAGGCACAGGGGCGCCTGGGTGGCTCAGTTGGTTAAGCAACTGCCTTCGGCTCAGGTCATGATCCTGGAGTCCTGGGATCGAGTCCTGCATCGGGCTCCCCGCTCAGCGGGGAGTCTGCTTCTCCCTCTGACCCTCTTCCCTCTCATGCTCTCTCTCAAATAAATAAATAAAATCTTTAAAAAAAAAAAAAGAGGCACAAGTGGAACACTCATATTGCTTTTCCTTGCTGCAGATTTTCCAGTTCTAGTTTTCTTTCTGAAGGACCTCTCCTTGAACTATTCTTTTTTTTTTAATATTTTATTTATTTATCTGATAGAGACACAGCGAGAGAGGGAACACAAGCAGGGGGAGTGGGAGAGGGAGAAGCAGGCTTCCCGCAGAGCAGGGAGCCCGATGCGGGGCTCGATCCCAGGACCCTGGGATCATGACCTGAGCCGAAGGCAGACACTTAACGACTGAGCCACCCAGGCGCCCCTCCTTGAACTATTCTTAATGAATGGTTGTATCTGGTGAAGTTGTTAAAGTGATCCACTTTATAAGATAAGGTGAGTGCCAATGAGTGTCTTTTTCCCTCTCTCCTGTATATTTCCCCTCTTGTTTACTGCTCATTTCCTTATCACTACCTTATTTTCCTGGGTCCAATCCCTAGACTTCATTCTTTGCTAATATCTCTATCTAGAAACTCCGCTTCCTCAGACCATGTAAGGCCCTCTAACAGTTTCTTCTTCCCCATGTGGTAGCACCCAAGGTATATCTTTTTTAGTATATGTGCTGCCGAAGCGAGCACATCCCAAGGTATATCTTTGATCTGTCTTCCCCAACTAGAACGCCAGCCTCTTGGAGTTAATATTTGGGTCCCAATGCCAGGTAAGTGCTCCAAGGAGTGTTTTGTTTTGTTTTTAAGATTTTATTTATTTATTTGACAGAGACACAGCGAGAGAGGGAACACAAGCAGGGGGAATGGGAGAGGGAGAAGCAGGCTTCCCGGTGAGCAGAGAGAGCCCGCCCAATGCAGGGCTCGATCCCGGGACCCTGGGATCATGACCTGAGCCGAAGGCAGACGCTTAACGACTGAGCCACCCAGGCGCCCCTACAAGGAGTGTTTGGATAATGGCTTTCCTTCATCAGATTCTCATCCTGTGGGTTCATGCTACTTAGGTTACTTTTCTTCAGTTTCTTAAGGTTGAGGTGTTGGTAGAACCAATTTTATTTTATATATTGAAGTAGAACTTGTAACCAAGGCCATCGAGCCCCAGAATAGAGGGTGGAAAAAGAATGTAATTTTATAATAACTCATGGGATCTATAGCCACGAGAAGTGGGCTCAAAGACCTCCCTTACAGCTCCATGCTACTGTTTCTGTGTGCCTGCAGGAGATTCTGTGTTGCTAGCCCCACAGTATTTCTTGGATTCCTTTAAACCTGCCCACACTTTCTGTCAGTAGTCCCATTTGTAAACTCTTCTTCAGTTGCCTAGTTTGAGTGGCATCTTCACCCTTATGTTTATTACCCCAGACTAAGGTAATTTTGTGGGTACTTCAAAGTAGGTTTCCAAAAAAGGCTAAATACTCCCTTTCTGTGCTTTGTCAAAGTCAGAGCGGAGTAGTTGGCAAAATATACTGTAGGGTTAGAAGATTCTTAAATCAGAACAAAGTTGAACCAGATGACTTTTCAGGCCATTTCAATTCTGAAATCTCATTACTCTAGACAGAATTCCATTTACAGTGGCGCCTGGGTGGCTCAGTCAGTTAAACCGTCTGCCTTCAGCTAGGTCATGATCTCAGGATCCTGGGATTGAGCCCCGCATCCAGCTCTGCTCAACAGCGAGTCTGCTTCTCTCTCTTCCTCTCCGTCTGTGATCTCTCTCAGTCTCTCTCAAATAAATAAGTAAATAAAATCTTTAAAAAAAGGCGGGGCTGGGGCCTGGGTAGCTCAGTCGGTTGGGCATCTGCCTTCGGCTCAGATTGTGATCTCAGGATCCTGGGATAGAGCCCCATGTCGGGCTCCCTCCTTGCAGGGAACCTGCTTCTCTCTCTCCTTGCTCCTGCTCTCTCCGGCTACCTCTCTCTCAAATAAATAAATAAAATCTTCAAAAAAATCTTCAAAAAAAAATTCCATTTACAGTTAACTGGTGCTTATTCAGATCTCTATGTAAATACGGAAAATTCCATAAACTCTGGTTTTTATTAAGGTGGGAAATTAATTTACTTAATATGCAAAGAATTTACAGATTAATTTTTTAACATCCATAATGCAATAAAAAATGGGTATTGGGCATGAATAGGAAGTGAGCAAAAAAAGCATTGCATATGACCCTTAGGTTTAGGAAGAGAAAAGTTCAGCCTTGCTTTTTTTTTCCCTAATATATTATCTTTTATCGTGGCAAAATACACCTAACATAAAATTTGACATTTTGACCACTTTAAAGTGCACATTTCAGTGACATTTGCTACATGTACATGTTGCGCAACCATCAGTACTATCTAGTTCCAGAACATTTTCATTACCCCAAAAGGAAGCCCTATGTGTACCCATTAAGCAGTCACTCCCATCTTCCTCCCACCCTCCCCAGCACCAGTCCCTGGCAACCACTAATCTGCTTTCTCTTTCCATGGGTTTTCTTATGCCAGATATTTCATGTAAATGAAATCATATCACGTGGCCTTTTATATCTGACTTTTTTTCAGTTAGCATCATGTTTTCAAGATTTGTCTGTTTTGTGGCATATGTCAGTACTTCATTTATTTTTTCTTTTTTTTTTTTTAAATCTTTTTTTTAAGATTTTTTATTTATTTATTCATGAGGGAGAGAGAGAGAGAGAGAGAGAGAGAAGCAGAGGGAGAAGCAGGCTCCCAAGGAGCAGGGAGCCCGATGCGGGACTTGATCCCAGGACCCTGGGATCATGACCTGAGCCGAAGGCAGATGCTTAACCATCTGAG